AAAAGCCTAATGCACTTTCCCCTTTCTAAAGCTATAACACTTGTTTAACTGCATTGTGTGTGACTATAACAAAGCTTACTGTTCTGTGTCAATCCAAAACAGTTTGCAAGTCATTCATTCTTATCCAGCCGGTAACATGGGAGGTTTAACCTACATCTCAAAGGTTTAAGGTTTTATCTAACCTTCATTTTTATAGGCGTTATCATGTATTGTTCAAAGACAGTTTTCTAGGAGCTACAGGTGTAAGGACGTGAATGCTTTTGGATCATAATCAGTCAGTTGTAGGTAGGCTCAACTGAATATGTGATGGTGGAATTGATGTTATTATGGAGAAGTTCTCCCCTTAGAATATAATGGGTAAGTATTTTGATGAACTTCCCTCGGGGCACCAACGTGGAAAAATAAATAATGCATGTACCTAGCTGAAAGCTGTCGATAACAATGGGTAGGACAACTGATGACTGTGTCGGAAACATAGGGACTCTATTGTCTAGACTCAGTCTCAGGTGGTATTTTCTCTCCATGATCTGTGAACCATGAAAAATTTCTTACACTTCACTATTAATCCTTTATTGAATACTTGAGAGGAAAAGGTGGCACAAACCTTTGCCTACAACAACCAAGGCCTCTATCCTCCTGGCTCAATATCCATGGTACTGGCAAACAAACAAGGCATGTGTGTATGAGGTGTACAGGTGCGGCTAATGCAAGCAAGAGCGGACATACATACAGCCCCGGTGCAAGTAAATACAGTAGAGCAGGGGTGTCAAACTCATTCCATGGAGGGCCGAGTGTCTGCTGGTTTTTGCTTTCAATTAAGACCTAGACAACCAGGTGAGGGGAGTTCCTTACTAATCAGTGATCTTAATTAATCAATCAAGTATAAGGGAGGAGCAAAAACCTGCAGACACTTGCCCCTCCGTGGAATGAGTTTGGCAAATGTGCATTAGAGCAGATTTCCCCAAACTCGGTCCTGGGGCCCCTCCGGGTGCATGTTTTGTTTTTTGCCTTAGCACTACACAGCTGACTCAAATAACCAACTCATCATCAAGCTTTGATCATTTAAAATCAGCTGTGTAGTACTAGGCAAAAAACAAAACTTGCACCCAGAGCGACCGAGTTTGGGAAACCCTGCAGTAGAGAGTAAAGTTGATGTGTTCCACTCAGAATGGCCCAAAATGACTTGATGAAATTGTTTCCCTGATGTGGCAACCTGGTCTCAGAGCATTTCGTATTATTCTGTACGGAAACCCGAGACACTATTTAGTATGGTTACATAAGACAGATGGTTACTTCTAGCAACCCACGGGTTGCAACTTTAGCATTTTAGCAACTTTTCAACTATTACTACTTTTCAACTACTTAGCATGTTAGCTAATCGTTCCCCTAAACTTAACCCTAACCCCTAGCCTAGTTAACTTTAGCGACCTAGCTAATGTTAGCCATCTAGCTAGAAATTGTAACATATCATACGTTTTGCAAATGCGTAACATATAATACGATTTGTAATCTGTAACATATACGAAATGGGTGATTGACCCCCACAAATGAATACATACCATACTAAATTAACAGAATAATACGAAATGCTCCGAGACCAGGTTGGATGTGGTAACGTTCCTAGTTGTCAGTGCAGTACATGGCTAGTTTGTCTCTGCCAGAAGCTTATGTAGCTAGCTAGCTAACCAGTGTAGTTTACCTGGCTAACTAGGTGGCTAATGGCAATCATTGATTTGATGTAACCTTGCAAGTTTACTATATCGGGCTAAACAATGACGGGACATAGCTAGCTAGCCAGCTAATCTTAACGTACTGATTGAGTCTAGGCTAGGAATATTAGTTGCGTTAGTTAACAACAACACGCAAGGTTAGCAATAACACCAGTTATCAAACAAGTCAGTTAGCTAGCTAACTAAACACGACAGACAGACAGCGGTCTGTTTTTGGCAACCAACAACAACAAGCCAACTTGTTCGTAACTGGCTAGCTAACCAAGTCAGCTGCGCGAGCACAGTGAGTGCCCCGTCAGTGGCCTCCCGCGTGCTAACACAAAACGCTGCTAACGCGCTAGCTTGGTTCCCAAATTAAACCCCTTGGGGAGTTAGTTGTCGTTTGTCTCTCCGCCTGGTTCATATCGATTGACACTGACCTGGAGAGGTGTTTGAGGATCTGTTTCTTGATCAGCCCAGCCATGACCGCATAAATGATTTATCCCAGCGATGCAGTTCAAATTCTCAATACCGAGTCAGGGTGCATTTTTGATGGTCTGTGTGAGGTTAGCCCAGTTCTCGCTCCACGGAGATTAGACAGGTGAAAACAACCCTCCAAGACACAGCTAGCTAGCTTCAGAAGGCAAATAAGCCATTACACCTAGTGCCAAAGTCCATCTTCATTGCAACAGCACCTGGAAACATGGCCTGTGCCGTCACAACGACAAATGGGCAAGCCTGCGGCGACCAAAGATACACGACTTGCGGGCGGAGCATGGATGACTCAGCCATTACGTCAGCATTGTCCCATGTATGGATTTTATTTTAAGAAGTAAAACCATAATTGCCTGTTTTTACTGTGGCTGAGTACGTAGGCACGGGAAGATGTTTGGGGGTGGGGCTGCTGCGATTTCTTTCGCCGACGGGGGTGGGGGTACCATCTACCTGTGAGTGCAGTTAGTCTCCTCTCTAAAGACTGTCATTCAGTGACCTCTGGTGGACAAACGCAGGGAGAGGGGTCCAGCTGCAGCTGTCATCTATCAGGCTCATCACCTCTCAGGCCCCTCTCTATACTGCCATCTACTGGTGGGAAAAGTTTAGACATCATCTCTCAGGCCCCTCTCCAATGCCAGGACCATCACTTCCGGGTCTGACACATTAAGCAGAATATTTTTTTCTGTTTACCACAGAGAGGATAGCGTCCAAATGACTGACAACGAACTTTAGGTCGAAACTAATACACAATGGACGTATGAACGGTACACAGTGTCCTTCACCCCCGCATGCTGAGCATTGTTTTCCAGCAGTTCCAACGCATCAACAGATGACACACCAATTTTAAGATAAAACATTGCACATTGATTATAGTAAAATGATGGCATAGTCTAAATGAAAAACTCTGATAATACTTTTATTTCCCTTTTGACCCACATGTTTTCCGCATAGACAATCAGGGGAAATACATAATATCAAAAGTGTCAGTTAAACACAAGCATTAAGATCCCCACAACAAAGCGTACAAGCTGTAATGCTATGCTAACATTCATATCAGTGATTCATATCAGTGAGTACGTTTACATGCATGGTAATAATTTGATATTAAACTGATTATGGCAGTAGGCAGATTATGCAATAGTAATGCAAACACCTTACTCTGTTTACTGTATCTTAATCAGCGTAAGGTCAAAACTGAAGTTAGCATATACCGATTAAAACACCTGGTTTTCTGAGCAATCTTAAAAATTATTAGGACATGTAAACACATTAATCGCCGTTCCAGCGGTGTATTTGATCTGCGCATGTACTAGCACCAGCCGAGCGAGGCTCCCACTTTTGCGTGAGTGAAGTGAGTTCGGAACAACTGAATGTATGCGTCTTAGAAGTAGTTTTCACATACAAACTTTATATGTCCAAACACAGAATCAAATATGCTTCCCAAAAATAACATGGTCTCTGTGGTAGAACGTTTATTTTGATTGCCGATTTTCCGCATTTATCAGAGCGCCATCAGGTAGCCTGATTTCAGATGTGTCCATATAAACAGGATTATTATGGAAATTGGTAACGTTTTAATCGAACTATTATATTAATCTGACTAGCCACAATAATCGCTTTATTGTGTTCATATAACCATACTCACTAAGGGGTCCTGGTGTTGGAGAGGGGAGCCTGAGAGATGAAGGGCCTGAGAGATTATGTCCCACCAGTACTCCGCAGTATACAGAGGGGCCTGAGAGATGATGGGCCTGAGAGATGATGTCTGCATTGGACAAAGGCCGAAGTGCCTGGCGTGTACAAACATCAGATAACTAAATCATGCAGCAACTTTTCTTTAACTTTCATCAGACCTTTAAAAACACACGTGAAAACAATTATTTTGTGCAGATGAATAGAAAACATCGACATTTTTTTTTATCCATTTTGTGTAAAATATGCATTTGTTCTTGAATTTGCATTGTGGCGCCAGCTACTGTTATTGAAACTCTTCAAATGTCCAACTCTATAGGTTTGCAATTTGCAACATAGGGAACATAGCTACATAGCTTAGGCTAGTTATTAGGGTACTCTGATTGCATTCTATGTATTATGTGAAACTGTTTGATTAGGTAATAATATGCCAATAGACTAATGACTTCGGCACAATGGAAGACATTGAAAATAGGCCTATTTGTTAACATGCATTGTTCATGGTTATATATATATTTTTTACATTAATAGTTGTTCGAAACACGTGTTATTCTGGTCTGGAAGAGCAACATGCCTTGAATTGAGGGAACTCTAGGAAAGGATGTCGAGGCATACATGATTAGGCTACTCTAGTTGCCACGTATGAAGGGAGGAGCAAATGAGAGGAAAAAACGATCCAACATCACCTCCGCTTTACTGTTGCTACAGTATTGAAACAAATTACATCAGCTGTGTTATAGGCTTTATGAATCATGTTAAATGTCATCAACTGGAGGCATAGAACATTGTAGCCCTCATGCTTTCAACAAACTGTGCAAAAAACAACAATGCAACAAAACACAAATTAGCATGAATTCTGATATCACTATTTTTCTAGGCATGTTTAGGCTATCCTATACCAGGATTTTAGAAACAGGGCTTGAAAGACACATGAAACATCAATGGGCCTTTTTCTATTAATCCAAATAAATAGGGCTAGTTATTTCCTCAACTTTATCAGAACTAATTTCTGTGTTTCTGACGTCCTGATTGCATAATTCCAGAGCCATTGGAGACATAAGGCAAGTAAAGCCACCAATTTTGCAGTCAGAACGCCCAGTCCCACAAGAAGAGAGACGCCCCTTTTTTTTGCATACCTCAACGCAAACGGAGTCCTAGGAAAGCCACATCGCGCCTACTGATACGCTAAATGTACAGTGAAGACAGTACACAGCATCTGTAAAGACCAGCCTCACACTTCCTCGGACCCCCCTGGTAGAAAGTCACAGCAGACATGACTTCGAGACACAGAAACAAGAACAATTCAAGCGAAAAGACTGCTTCATCCAGCCAAGATGACGTGGCGAAGAAAAGTCCGAAACCTAGTAGTAATGGGGTTAGTAGCCCCCCAAACCAGGTGTCGGGGTCGGGGACTTCGGTCAAACTTATAGCTGCTTTATGTTATATCGCATTAGTAGCCGCTGCGGGCTTTTCTGCTATTTATCTACAACAAGTGTTGAAAGAAGTCCATCAAATCAGCACCAGAAATGAAGAGACCGTACGGAAAAATGCAGAGGTTGCGCGTAAAGTAGAGAATGTTCTTCAACAGGTAAGCAATGCAATCGATATAGGACAAACCACTAGCCATTTATTTCGATGTTAATGAAAAGGTCGCAAGTTAAGGCAGACTGTTGAAGATTGCAAACCACGACTAGATAGGATGAACATATAGACTACAGAGAGGAAATGGACTCCCCCCCTCCACCAAAAGCTTGATGAGCTGGCACAAGAAAAGTACAGATGTAATCACTGCTATTCTTTCCTAGAGAGAGAGTACTGGCATTGCAAAAAAAAAATCCAGGTTCATGGATATACTACATCCTTTATAATCAAAAGGGAAGTTATATTTCTATAGAATTGAGGAATGCATTGGTATAATGTATGCAAATTGCACCCCATAAATTCCCTTTAATTTTTATCCAGCTAGCTATGTTCCTGTATTAATTAATTCAGTCAATCAGTTATTCATTCACTTCTTTTCAAGCGGTCATGTAACTTCACTTAACTCCAGTTTGAACTGGATGCTTACAAATATATATATATATATTTTTTTTTTAGCTGCATATGTAGGTCTACTCCACAGGCTGAACAACAGCTGAGTTATGTAACAAAGCAACGTAACCTACTCATAAGTTACTGTAACTAGGTAAACGTGGTAAAGAAACCCCCCCCAGGGAAAAACATTAGCTAAGAACACACATTCTACAAGTAAATCCTGAAACATGCATTGCAGAGTCTCCTATAGGTAAACTTCCTATGTGAGGCTGTGTCAACTATTGTTGTATAAAGCTATTTGATTAATTGTGTCTTTGACTGCAAGCTATAAAGTCTATTTTAATAACTACCTAGCCAAACAACTCTTTTGTCAGGCAAATTACTGGTCAGGGATAGGCTCTTCCATCCTTAGCCAACTTTCTTGGTATGTACTGTACCTGTGTTTTCAGACAAGTACATCTTCATCACAGGTGTGACTATACAGATGTACAGCTTTAAACCTGTTTTATACAATTTAATAGTAGTAATAGTGTTATATAATAATATAATGTGGTTATTATATTATTTATGCATACATACAGTATTGATAGTAGGGATGTGACAGATTGTAAGGATTTGACAGATTAATCATTAAAGACTAATCGAATAATCATTGTGGCCCTAATCTGTATTGATGACCAATGGTTGACCAACACTGAGTGTACCAAACATTAAAAACACCTTCCTAATATTGAGTTGCACCCCCCCCCCCCCCCCCCCCCCTGTTTTGTAAATTCAGTGTATGATTCCCTGTCTGTGGTTGTGTAGGTGGACAGCGTAAGGGGCTCTGTGGACGGGTTGGAGTCGGCGCTGGGCACCATGCGGGCAGAGCAGGAGGCGGGGAGCCGGGCGGTGAGGAAGGGTGAGGCGGAGACACGGCGCGTGGAGGAGGCTCTTCAGAGGCTCCAGAACGAACTGCTGGTCGACCTCTCAGAAGGCATCAAGGAGGTGAAGGAGGCCAGAGAGCGGGACTTCTCTTCCCTGGAGAAGACGGTGGAGGAGCGCCTGGCTGAGTTGAGTGCCTCCATCGCGGCCAGCGTGACCGAGTTCACCGAGGCCCAGGGCGAGACTCAAAGTCAGCTGGCTGACCTCAAAGCCCGTCTGGACGACATGGAGGACCCGGCGCTGATCAGGCAGGAACTGTCCGCCATTGTCGACACCGTCGCCGGGCTCAGCGCCACTAAGCAGGCTGCCGATGAGTCTGCCTATTCACTGAGGGAGCAGATCACTACGGTGGGGGCGGAGCTCCAGACCCGTAACCAAGAAATAGCCTCGATGTCGCAGGAAGTGGAGGCGGTGAGATTGCTGGTGCAGGAAACGGCGGGGAGCCTGCGGCAGCAGGTGTCAGGGGCAGAGGCGGGCATCCAGGGGTTGACAGATCAGGGCCAGAACCTGCAGAGCGGGCTGGAGCTGGCCACCGAAGCTCTACACAGTCTGGAGAAGGAACTGCGGGGGGAGTCGGCCAGGGCTGAGCAGAGGTCCGACGGTCTGGAGGTCCGACTAAAAGTGGCGGAGGACGGTGGAGACTCCTTGGCGGCGTCGCTAACAGGCCTGACTTCCAAGGTCGAGGCCCTTCTCGCCAAGTACGATCCACGAGAGCACGCTAGCCGCCAGGCACGGCAGCCGAAAGGCCCGGCACCTCGGGACTAGGGAGCAAAGGGCAGCCTAGAGAGCTCCAGTCCAACGTGATCGAACTGAGTGGCACTCAGACCAAGCTAGGCACTCGCAGAGGCTGAGCAGCTAGCCGGGACCAGCAAGACCAATTCTGATCTATCACATTTCTAGGCTGTTTAGCTTTTAGAAACAGGGCTTGAAAGACACATGAAACATCAATGGGCCTTTTTCTATTAATCCAAATAAATAGGGCTAGTTATTTCCTCAACTTTATCAGAACTAATTTCTGTGTTTCTGACGTCCTGATTGCATAATTCCAGAGCCATTGGAGACATAAGGCAAGTAAAGCCACCAATTTTGCAGTCAGAACGCCCAGTCCCACAAGAAGAGAGACGCCCCTTTTTTTTGCATACCTCAACGCAAACGGAGTCCTAGGAAAGCCACATCGCGCCTACTGATACGCTAAATGTACAGTGAAGACAGTACACAGCATCTGTAAAGACCAGCCTCACACTTCCTCGGACCCCCCCTGGTAGAAAGTCACAGCAGACATGACTTCGAGACACAGAAACAAGAACAATTCAAGCGAAAAGACTGCTTCATCCAGCCAAGATGACGTGGCGAAGAAAAGTCCGAAACCTAGTAGTAATGGGGTTAATAGCACCCCAAGCCAGGTGTCGGGGTCGGGGACGGGGACTTCGGTCAAACTTATAGCTGCTTTATGTTATATCGCATTAGTAGCCGCTGCGGGCTTTGCTGCTATTTATCTACAACAAGTGTTGAAAGAAGTCCATCAAATCAGCACCAGAAATGAAGAGACCGTACGGAAAAATGCGGAGGTTGCGCGTAAAGTAGAGAATGTTCTTCAACAGGTAAGCAATGCAATCGATATAGGACAAACCACTAGCCATTTATTTCGATGTTAATGAAAAGGTCGCAAGTTAAGGCAGGCTGTTGAAGATTGCAAACCACGACTAGATAGGATGAACATATAGACTACAGAGAGGAAATGGCTAGAAGAGGGCCACCTCCCCCTCCTCCAAAAGCTTGATGAGCTGGCACAAGAAAAGTACAGATGTAATCAATGCTATTCTTTCCTAGAGAGAGTACTGACATTGCAAAAAAAAAATCCAGGTTCATGGATATACTACATTCTTTATAATCAAAAGGGAAGTTATATTTCTATAGAATTGAGGAATGCATTGATATAATGTATGCAAATTGCACCCCATAAATTCCCTTTAATTTTTATCCAGCTAGCTATGTTCTTGCATTAATTAATTCAGTCAATCAGTTATTCATGTACTTCTTTTCAAGCCGTCATGTAACTTTACTTTGAACTGGATGCTTACATAAAAAAAAAAGCTGCATATGTAGGTCTACTCCACAACAGCTGAGTTATGTAACAAAGCAACGTAACCTACTCATAAGTTACTGTAACTAGGTAAACGTGGTAAAGAAACACCCCCCAGGGAAAAACATTAGCTAAGAACACACATTCTACAAGTAAATCCTGAAACATGCATTGCAGAGTCTCCTATAGGTAAACTTCCTATGTGAGGCTGTGTCAACTATTGTTGTATAAAGCTATTTGATTAACCGTGTCTTTGACTGCAAGCTATAAAGTCTATTTTAATAACTACCTAGCCAAACAACTCTTTTGTCATCCATCCTTAGCCAAATTTCTTGGTATGTACTGTACCTGTGTTTTCAGACAAGTACATCTTCATCACAGGTGTGACTATACAGATGTACAGCTTTAAACCTGTGTTATACCATTTAATAGTAGTAATAGTGTTAGATAATGTGGTTATTATATTATTTATGCATACATACAGTATTTATAGTAGGGATGTGACAGATTGTAAGGATTAGACAGATTAATCATTAAAGACTAATCGAATAATCATTGTGGCCCTAATCTGTATTGATGACCAAAGGTTGACCTACACTGAGTGTACCAAACATTAAAAACACCTTCCTAATATTGTTTTGTACATTCAGTGTATTATTCCCTGTCTGTGGTTGTGTAGGTGGACAACGTAAGGGGCTCTGTGGACGGGTTGGAGTCGGCGCTGGGCACCATGCGGGCAGAGCAGGAGGCGGGGAGCCGGGCGGTGAGGAAGGGCGAGGCAGAGACACGGCGCGTGGAGGAGGCTCTTCAGAGTCTCCAGAACGAACTGCTGGTTGACCTCTCAGAAGGCATCAAGGAGGTGAAGGAGGCCAGAGAGCGGGACTTCTCTTCCCTGGAGAAGACGGTGGAGGAGCGTCTGGCTGAGTTGAGTGCCTCCATCGCGGCCAGCGTGACCGAGTTCACCGAGGCCCAGGGCGAGACTCAAAGTCAGCTGGCTGACCTCAAAGCCCGTCTGGACGACATGGAGGACCCGGCGCTGATCAGGCAGGAACTGTCCGCCATTGTCGACACCGTCGCCGGGCTCAGCTCCACTAAGCAGGCTGCCGATGAGTCTGCCTATTCGCTGAGGGAGCAGATCACTACGGTGGGGGCGGAGCTCCAGACCCGTAACCAAGAAATAGCCTCGATGTCGCAGGAAGTGGAGGCAGTAAGATTGCTGGTGCAGGAAACAGCAGGGAGCTTGCGGCAGCAGGTGTTGGGGGCAGAGGCGGGCATCCAGGGGTTGACAGATCAGGGCCAGAACCTGCAGAGCGGGCTGGAGCTGGCCACTGAAGCTTTACACAGTCTGGAGAAGGAACTGCGGGGGGAGTCGGCCAGGGCTGAGCAGAGGTCCGACGGTCTGGAGGTCCGACTAAAAGTGGCGGAGGACGGTGGAGACTCCCTGGTGGCGTCGCTAACAGGCCTGACTTCCAAGGTCGAGGCCCTTCTCGCCAAGTACGATTCCCACGAGAGCACGCTAGCTGCCCAGGGCACGGCAGCCGAGAAGGCCCGGGCCACCCTACAGGGAGAGCTAGAGGAGCTGAAGGGCAGCCTAGGAGAGCTCCAGTCCAACGTGATCGAACTGAGTGGCACTCAGACCAAGCTGGCCTCAAGGGACTCTAGCCTGGGGCAGCAGATAGAGGGGCTAGAGCAGAAGCTAGAAGCCCTGGGGGAAGCCTCCAAGTCAACCAGCCACCCCCCACCAGAGCTGGAGAAGCTGAAGAACACCGTGGATGGCCTGGTGGGGAAATGCTGCCAAGCTGGAGAGCCATGAGAAGGCCATCGAAGCCCTACAGGGGTCACTACAGAAGACCATTAGCTCATTGGAGGCCTTGGCCAAAGCCCCAGCCGAAGGGCAAGAAGGTGCAAGGGAGGTGTAGGAAGAAGAAGAGGTAGTTTTCAGGAGGGAACGTGGACTGCTGTGAATTTTAATACAACACTGCACTGTAGTTTTTTGTTTGTTTCTTTTTTTTCTTCTCTCATTTGAGTTTTTCACTTTGTCAGTTTCTGTTACTGGGTGGTTTCACAAACCCAACTTGCAATATAAACTCTTGTTCAGGAGCGTGTTATGGTTTACTGATTGTGTTTTGTTACAAAAATAAAAATTGGGCCACCACATTTCTGTGTAGACAAGTTATTGAATTGATTTATTATAACCTTCATCGTACATTGTATGGGGCTAACTCACTCCAACCATCTCCGTGACAGATGCAAGGTAGCCATTTTGCACAACCACCACACTTCATCAATCTCACTGGAGGTGAGTATTGAGGTAAAAGGTGAGAGTGGGTCGATCTGTTTCTAGTAGAAGGTCATTGGATAAAGATCATAGAAAATCCTTCATAGGATACAGGCTACAAGGTTAAAGCACTCCCAGTTCATTTAAAGGCTCACTCAAGGGCTGTGATCCAATTGGCACCCTATCCCCTATATAATGCACTACTTTTGACCAGGGCCCATAGGGCACTAGTCAAAAGTAGTGTTCTACATGTATTGGGACAGTGACCATTTTGTTGTTGTCTTGGCTATGTACTCCAGCACTTTGGATTTGAAATGATCCAATGACTATGAGGTCAGCTTTAATTTGAGGGTATTTTCATCCATATTGGGTGAACCGTTTAGAAACTACAGCACTTGTACATAGTCCCATTATTGTAATGGTGGGAGGTTAGCATTTTTGGGGAGTATGATATTTATGCCACTGTAACTTTCTCAATCATCATTATTCACGATTCATTCAGATCTATCCGTAATCCTGGTAGCATCCACAGTAATGTAGAAGTGTTTAGAAACATATTCTACTCTATTTACAATAAAAGTGACACAATACATTATTTACCATTAACTTCAATTGGGCACAAAATTATCTGAAACACAACCAAATCAAACAGCAAATGCATCCAGCAAATTTGTAGAGTCACAAGCTTGATGAAATCATTGCGTGCTCGGAATATGGGACCAAATACTTCACTTTTGACTACTTTAATACACATAAGTGAATTAGTCCCAATACTTTTGGTCCCTTAAAATGGGGGGGGGACTATGTACAAAAAAGTGCTGTAATTTCTAAACGGTTCACCCGATATGGATGAATATACCCTCATATTAAAGCCGACAGTCTGCAAGTTAGCCTCAGTCATTGTATCATTTCAAATCCAAAGTGCTGGAGTACAGAGCCAAAACAACAACAAAAATGTCACTGTCCCGAAACTTTTGGAGCTCACCGTATATAGAGAATAGGATGATCATTTGACATACAACCTGGTACTCCAGACTCAGAGTATATAAGTGGACTTAATACAGTGTGTGATGCTTCATCAAAAGCTTATTGTAATATTTCATTAGGAAACACTGCTGGGACAGTCAAGTGAGATCATTTATTGAAAGTAATTACTTTTCATCTGAAGAGGGAAGGAGATTGCTTGCTAATTCAATCATTTCCTGATAAGCCACTCATATCCTGGTTTGAGTCCTCACACACACAACCATCCATTCAACAGATGCCATTGCCTCAACATGTTCAAGAAAATGCATACACATGTACAGGGAATACAGAGTACACACAAACATCCCTCACAAGGAGAACAATATATCCAAGCCTTTAAAACAAACAGAAAACGCATGATCTCTGCAGTGTCCTAATACCACTACAATGGGGTTGTGGTAGTTTGAAGGAATTGCTACTGTAAATACGTGGTGTGATCTGTACATGTAATTAGCTTTAGTTAAAACGGTGTTAACACTCTTTACCCAAAGACCAGCTGCAATCTGCGTCCTAATGCCTGGTTGTCATTGAGCAATTCCAGGTATGTGTAGGTTCAACTCTATCTTTAGCGATGACATGCCAATGTGCATGTTAAACAAGTTGTGATTGGCTCTTGGGTTGGAGATTGGCCTTTGCTGATTGGCTGTGAGGTCGTCAGCTCATTGTTCAGCTCCGATACAAACTTCCTCCTTCAGATGTACATTTCCTGTAAAACACCTGGAGGCTTACTCAGTGGAGTGGCCCTAGAAATGCAATCAATAGATTTGCATGCTTCCCTATCCTACATAATAGTAATGTCTGTTCTACACAACATATTTCTATCTGAACATACGGTAACCCACCGAATAAGCCCAAGGGTTTTTTCAGAGGAGTGCAACGTCAGCAATGTTGCAGATGAAAATGTTATACACAGAACAGAAACAACTCTCTGACGTGAATCACAGCTCTACGCCACACATTTCTGTCTGCATTGCTCTGCACAGTCAGCCCCATTGAATAAACTCCTGGTGACAGATCATTTACACCAGGGTGTGCACAGGCAAAGCTCCATTGCCTTGAGGGCTGCAGTGTTCTTTATTCTATTTTAGGTCCCTATACCTTTTAACCACAGACTCATTTCGAATTGATTGATGGCAGAGAAGATGCAAAAACTAGTAGGACTAGTTAGCCATGTGGAACCCCAGGTCAACCCAGGACATGTATTCAGTAGGGCGAAACTATTTAGAACAGAAAAGTAATGTATAGAGCTGACATCATCATTCCCTATTGTACAGAACAGAATCATATTGTAGCATAACATTCTTCCTGAACAGGCCCCTTACCCTGAGAATGCATACCCGTGTGCAGGTCACACAGGGGTCAAGCAGTGTTGTTACAACCCCACCACTGGCCAGACTGATAAGGGGGAAACTGTTCAAGAGACTGCTCACATTCCAAAACTGTGGACCAGCAAGACCTCTCATTCACCATGATTGATGCCATTTTTCTGAGAAAATAAAACACCAACATTCCAGCCTCCTAGGATGCCACAGGTTGGCATTTATTGGGATGACTCATGTACTGGAGGCAGCTCTGCAGGGTAGTCACTAGCTGGCGCAGCCATAAAGTCATAAAATCAGATTTTAAACCTAACCCTAACCTAAACCACACTGCTAACCTTATCCCTAACCCTAACCTTAAATTAAGACCAAAAAGCACATTTTTGTTTTCATGAATTTTGACGATATATAGCCAATTTTGACTTTGCCACTGGCCCAGCTAGTGGAAATTGCTCTGCCTCCTGGACAAGAATAATCCCAATGAACATCAACCTACTCATAGGACAGGTTCATTCAAAGAAACAATTTGTAAAGCAACATAAGTTAGTCTGCATTCTAGACAAAAGGCCCAGTTAGTCTCAACCTAACCCCTAGCACTTACCGCTCAACCCCCTGAAGATCTGTATAGGTATACAGTAAATGGAAAGTATACTGGAATGTATAGGGGAAGTAACCTGATATTCTGGGGTTTCCACCATATTGCTTACATTAATCCTATTTGTAAGTCGCTCTGGATAAGAGCGTCTGCTAAATTACGTAAATGTAAATGTAAAATTAATCAAGATCTCTGAGGGGGAATCCAGAAGTACCTGTTGTAAGGGCTAGGTGGGGTCGACCATGTGTACAGAGAGATCAGCAAACTCTGTTTGAAATTTACAAAAATGTGCAAGTTATTGTAAGGGAATGATTGGTGACAAGCTGAAAGTTTGCCATTTACTCTGTAGATCTATAGCTTATAAAAAAGCACTCCTTCACAGCTCTCCTTCCAGTGTCTGAGGGAGGGCTTCACTCACGTTGACCTTCTGCAGAAGCATCTCTCCTCCCACTACGGGCATCTCAGACTCAACTATCTGACTCAACTGCTGTGTCACAACTCCTAGGTCCTCCTCCACAGCGCTGAGGTTAGCGAACGTCTGCCGTAGCTCCGCGATGTCCTCCTCCCTTTTGGTCAGATCCTCGGCCAGACGGCCAATCCTCAGGGTCAGCTCATCCACCTGCGGAGCCAGCGCCCCGAAGTCCCGCTTGATGGCTGCCACCTTGGGCTTGAGGTCGCCGGCAAAGGTCACCGTGCGGACCAATCGGGCGCGGTTGCTCTCCAGCTCCCTCAGGCGCTCCGAGATCTGCCGGTCGTTGGCGAACAGCTCAGGGAGGCGGCGTTTGAGCTGCTCCAGGGCTTGGGCGTTGCGCTCCGTGGCGGCCTTGAGACCCTGGATGCGGTCAATGCTGCCGGCAAGCAGGTCACCGATGCGTTTGACCATGCTGCGTTCTGCCTGGGTGGCCCTCTCCTCCAGCACCCGTACCTTCTCCAGGAGAGACTCCACCTCCGACTGGAGCCCATCCATCCGACGTACGTCCGTCCGCACCGACGCTACCTAGGAGATGGAGGAAGTGGAGAAGGAGAAGGTGTTCATGGGCAAAGCTTTACATGAACTGCCTTTCTATTCAATTGCCACGGTTCTGTTCAATCAGTTGTTACATTCGGTTTAATGTCAGGTTTCCCCAGTTACTTCAGCTTATCCTGACTCTTGCCTCTGGTTTTGAGAGACTTCAACCTTTACGTACTTGGAATATGAATTTATTGGTATTATTACATGTAACTACATAGTACTGTACTATGTAACTACTTTAACACATACTATTGGCCAGTTTATTACAATACAGTGATTGTTTCAGGAATCTTATCTGCAGTTCCTGTGTAATTGCCTGAGTTATTACATCCTGGTTACCAAAGTAGTTAGAGCATCTAGATGGCTTAAATCATTTAAAAAAAAAAGCACAGTAAAGCATAGGCCGCTGTCAAACCTTAGTGTTGACATCCTTAGTGATGGCAGAGGTGCGTCCCTCGATTTGTCCCACAGCCTTGGTCAGCGCCGCCACGCTGTCCTGGAGCAGGCTGCATTTCTCCGTTAGGCCGGACGCCCAGTCCTTCAGCTGGCTTACATCCTGCTCCAGGGCCTCCAAGTGGGGCAGGAGACCACCAGGCTGCCTCCCTAGATGCTCCAACAGGATCTGGATGACCTCGCACTGCGCCAGGTCACAGGTGGAAAGACAGAACAGGGCGGCCATTTTAGAAAAGAGCTCTACATAGGAAAAGACTGTGAGCAGCTAGATCATGCAGTCATAGACTGGTAGATAGGATTATGGTAGATAGGATTAATTGAAAAACATGCAGGGTGACTGTCCATAAGTTACCCCACACAGAAAGCTGATGTTTGGTGCAAATAAAAAAAAAATGGCCAACAACACAAATAGCTTAGAGACTGCTTTTCATTTACTAGAGATGCAAGATAGGAGAGAAGCATTTTTTTTTTTTTACACTTCATTGAACAAAAACATTTAACATTTAAAAAGATACAGAGAAACGCTGATAAGGCACTTTTATTAGAAAAGCAATACTGCCATAACTGTCACACTCATTTGAATATAAAATGTGTATAAAAAAATTATACAAACTCAACATTTGAGTACCAGATGATATTTCAGTACCTTTCACAATGGTTCTCCTTTCAGACACTGACAAGGCAACAATAATAAAGCAAGGAATATCCTTTACAGATTACAGGAGCAGTGTTTGGGTGCAGATGCTACATTCAGTTGCTGATTTTCAGCAGCCAGTGCAGATAACATTGATCGGTGCCCATATGAGATAGTAGTATGTTTGTGAGACAAGAACTTCAAACCTATTGATGAAACGCATTGCTAAACTTTAGCAATAGCAAGTTAAAATGCACAAATCACACAACGTAGCAATGTGAGGATTTAACAGCAGTTTTTAAAACAAATGGAATGACAGGACCACTCCTTCCCGTGGTTTAAACATGATGACATCACACACTGAGGTCATCATTATGCACCGGCTGGGGTGGCTCATTCTGCTCTGGGTCCTTGACATTTCACCCCTCCCTCTCCCCTTCCCCATCCGGCATCCCAGAATTCTCCTGGTTGTCCTGTTGCTCCTCCCCCCTGCTGAGCTGTCCCAGCGTCTCCTTGACAACGGCCAGCTCGTTCCTCATCTTGAGGATGCTGTTGTGGGCCTGGAGGGCGTCCAGAGCCTGCTTGATGTCCAGGATCTCCGTCAGGGCTTTAAGCATGCTGTCCTCCGTCCCAAACACCTGCAGGGTGAGCTCCTCCAGCCTTCGCTCCGCCACCCCCAGGTCCCCCCCCAGCCTCAGAATGGATCGCACCGCCTCCTCGACAGCCGGGAGGTGAACCTCGCACTGCTGGGCCTGGGGGATGTGCTCCTCTAGCTGGGCGACTAACTCTGTATCTACTCGGAGCAGGCTCCGGACTTGGTCCTCCAGTTTGTGGAGCTCCTTGGTGTTCCAGTCCAGCTGGTCCTGGGCCCGCTTGGCATCCTCGTCCTCGGTGCGGCCCAGGGCACGTGTGTTCCGCCGGGTGCTGTCCTCCAGCTCCTCCAGCCTCTCGTCCAGCGCCCGGGCCCTCTGCTCGGCCTTGTTCACCCGGTCCGTTGCGCCGGCATGCGCCTCACGTGACTCCGCCTTCAGAGAGGCCAGGTCGGAGGTCACCGAGGCCAGGCCCGTCTGCCACGTCTCCGTCACGTTCAGGAAGCGGGCATTGACTGTCTGGAGATCGCGAGAGGCGGAGTTCTCGTCGTCCTGCATCGCCATGACGACAGTATGGAGCGAGGAGAGGTCACGTTCGAGGCGCGTCGCCAGGGAGACGGTGGAGAGAGCCCCCTGCAGGTCGTCCTCTGAGGCGGCGAGCTGCAGCCGCAACACAAAACAGGGAGGGCTGTTTCTGGGGGGGGCTCTGGGATCCTCAGTATTCTCTCTCACACTCACACATACGCATACAAGTACAAATGCATGCAATTACAGGCACACGTTCAGTCAAAAGATGTGTATAACAATTCTAAGGAAGAAATTTGATTTGATCACAGAATTAAATTCAACTGGATAGGCTATACAATCCAAGATGCAAGAATAACTGCAGCAATAAAGAACATAAATAATGCAGACATGTCTGCAGGGGCTAAATAATAAGGGGGAGGGGCCTACATTATGTGACAAGCAAGACAATGACAGTACCAATACACACAATAACTTAAACACACATAACAAAGCATAGATGGTCTCTGCATAATGTTTTTGTGTCCTGTTCTTCACGGGAGAGAGATGGATAGACAGTTCCAATAGAAACTAAACGTACCTTCTTGGACACCTTGATGACTTCCTCCTCCATTTCAAGGAGACTTGCAGTCTTCCCAGACAGTAGTTGGTACTTTTCTTCCACGTCGGAGAACCTTGCATTCTGCTGCAATACCACCCTGTAATGTAAGGGGGAAAATAACGTAATGAATAGGACAACTCAAACATAAAATGATTAATTTCCTCATGTTTGGTCTTACCGAGATGAAAGGAAATAGGAATTATCCATAAGCACACGGACCTTTATAAGCGCTGAAGATTTTCAAATGTTTGGCCTATACATTTTACATTTTAGTCATTTAGCAGACGCTCTTATCCAGAGCGACTTACAGTTAGTGAGTGCATACATTATTATTATTTTATTTTTTTCATACTGGCCAGGGTTGTGGGTTCGACTCCCATGGGGGGCATGGGAATCGAACCCACAACCCTGGCGTTGCAAACGCCATGCTCTACCAACTGAGCTACATCCCTATGCAAATGAATAGGCTTACTTTTACTTACCAAGTAAGCAATATGCAAACTATCAGTGAAAGCAGACAAGTTATCGTTTTCAGATCCAGGGAGGACGGCGAGGAGCTTTTACTTTCAGCCAATCTATTTCCTTCCATAGCTTTTGCTGTCTTTGCTTCATCTTCGGAAGTGTACTTTGATGTTTCAACCGGTTCGTCATTTTGTTTCTGAGCCGTGGTCTTCTTCCTTTGCTTCATTTCATTACTTGCCATTTTTGTAGCCTGCAACAACGTTTCGACTTGCAGCTTCCTTTTGCCTTGCTAGGCCTACTTGCAAAGGAATTGATTCAAAGTAGCGGCTGCGACTGCAAGCGACAATGGCCCACAGCTCTAGAAGTTTCGCAGCATACTAGCACAAGAAACTCCATCTAAATTCAAGTTAAATGCATTAGTTCAAATATGAATATAATTTAGAATATTTAGGTATTCCAGAGAATCAAATAAACCTTAAATAAAAGTACGCTACTTGCCAATGCATATAAGCAAGTCTACATATCCCGTAAAGGAATTGATCACTTGAACGCTCCTTGGAATTTGGGAAAAAGAACAAAATGCCAGCCACGTAGGCGGCTGACGCCTGAAAATATTACAACGTGCTGCCCGTTAGTAGGCATAGGCCCTCTGATTTCATCGTTCTGCAATAGACCGTTTGAGGACATTATAAACATTATAAAAACGGTGCGTTATCTCAAGTTTTCAACATCTAATTAGTATTAATGAGGATAACTGGGATGACACAGAAAAATCCCAAATTGAGTAGAGCACAGTTATGAGCGGACAACTTCATTCATGCAAAGGCACAAACAAATACACACAAAAAGGGGGGTAGCCTAATGGTTAGTTTATTTGGCATACAGTGCCTTCAGAAAGTATTCACACCCCTTTACTTTTTCCACATTTTGTTGTGTTACAGCCTGAATTTAAAATGGATTAAACTAAGATTGTTTTGTCACTGGCCTACACACAATACCCCATCATGTCTAAGTGGAATTAGGTTTTTCGAAATGTTTTAAATTAATTAAAAATGAAAAGCTGAAATGTCTTGAGTCAATAAGCGTTCAACCCCTTTGTTATGGCAAACCTAAATACGTTCAGGAGTAAACATTTGCTTAACAAGTCACATAATAAGTTGCATGGACTCGCTGTGTGCAATAATAGTGTTTAACATGATTTTTGCATGACTACCTCATCTCTGTACCCCACACATACAATTATCTGTAAGGTCCCTCAGTCGAGCAGTGAACTTCAAACACAGATTCACCCAAAGACCAGGGATGGTGTATCAATACACCCAGTCACTACAAAGATGCAGGCGTCCTTCCTAACTCAGTTGATGGAGAGGAAGGAAACCGCTTAGGGATTTCACCATTAGGCCAATGGTGAATTTAAAACAGTTACAGAGTTTAATGGCTGTGATAGGAGAACACTGAGGATGGATCAACAACATTGTAGTTATTCCACAATACTAACCTAATTGACATAGTGAAAATAAGGAAGCCTGTACAGAATATTCCAACAAGACACTAAAGTAATACTGCTAAAAACGTGGCAAAGCAAGTAGCTATTAGTCCTGAATACAAAGTGTTATGTTTGGGGCAAATCCAATACAACACATTCCAGAGTACCACTCTTTCAAGCATAGTGGTGGCTGCATCATGTTATGGGTATGCTTGTAATCGTTAAGGACTGGGGAGTTTTTTTAAATAAAAAATTAACTGAATGGAGCTAAGCACAGGCAAAATCCTAGAGGAGAACCTGGTTCAGTCTGCTTTCCACCAGATACTGGGAGATGAGTTGCTTACTAAGAAGACAGTTAATGTTCCTGAGTGGCCAAGTTACAGTTTGACTTAAATCTGCTTGAAAATCTATGGCAAGACCTGATAATGGCTGCGTAGCAATGATCAACAACCAATTTGACAGAGCTTGAAGAATTTTAAAAAGAATAATGGGCAAATGTTGCACAATCAAGGTGAGGAAAGCTCTTAGAGACTTACCCAGAAAGACTCACAGCTGTTATCGCTGCTAAAGGTGATTCTATCCCCTCCTCTCTTCTCCAGACCATTTCCGGAGACCTTCTCCCTTACCTCACCTCGCTCATCAACTCATCCTTGACCGCTGGCCATGTCCCTTCCGTCTTCAAGAGAGCGAGAGTTGCACCCCTCCTCAAAAAACCTACACTCGATCTCTCCAATGTCAACAACTACAGATCAGTATCCCTTCTTTCTTTTCTCTCCAAAACTCTTGAGCGTGCCGTCTCTAGCCAACTCTCCTGCTATCTCTCTCAGAATGACCTTCTTGATCCAAACCAGTCAGGTTTCAAGACTGGTCATTCAACTGAGACTGCTCTTCTCTGTGTCACGGAGGCTCTCCGCACTGCTAAAGCTAACCCTCTCTCCTCTGCTCTTATCCTTCTAGACCTATCCGCTGCCTTTGATACTGTGAACCATCAGATCCTCCTCTCCACCCTCTCCGAGTTGGGCATCTCCGGCGCTGCTCACTCTTGGATTGCGTCCTACCTGACAGGTCACTCCTACCAGTTGGCGTGGCGAGAATCTGTCTCCGCACCACATGCTCTCACCACTGGTGTCCCCCAGGGCTCAGTTCTAGGCCCTCTCCTATTCTCTCTATACACCAAGTCACTTGGCTCTGTCATATCCTCACATGGTCTCTCCTATCATTGCTACGCAGACGACACACAATTAATTTTCTCCTTTCCCCCTTCTGATAACCAGGTGGCGAATCGCATCTCTGCATGTCTGGCAGACATATCAGTGTGGATGTCGGATCACCACCTCAAGCTGAACCTCGGAAAGACGGAGCTGCTCTTCCTCCCGGGGAAGGACTGCCCGCTCCATGATCTCGCCATCACGGTTGACAACTCCATTGTGTCCTCCTCCCAGAGTGCAAAGAACCTTGGCATGACCCGGTGACCCGATCCTGCAGGTTCATACTCTACAACATTCGCAGAGTACGACCCTACCTTACACAGAAAGCGGCACAGGTCCTAATCCAGGCACTTGTCATCTCCCGTCTGGATTACTGCAACTCGCTGTTGGCTGGGCTCCCTGCCTGTGCCATTAAACCCTTACAACTTATCCAGAATGCCGCAGCCCGTCTGGTGTTTGACCTTCCCAAGTTCTCTCATGTCACCCCACTCCTCCGCACACTCCACTGGCTTCCAGTTGAGGCTCGCGTCTACTACAAGACCATGGTGCTTGCCTACGGAGCTATGAGGGGAACGGCACCTCCTTACCTTCAGGCTCTGATCAGACCATACACCCAAACGAGGGCACTACGTTCATCCACTTCTGGCCTGCTAGCTCCCCTACCTCTACGGAAGCACAGTTCCCGCTCAGCCCAGTCAAAGCTATTTGCTGCTCTGGCACCCCAATGGTGGAACAAGCTCCCCCACGACACGAGGACAGTGGAGTCACTGACCACCTTCCTACACTTGAAACCCTACCTCTTTAAGGAATACCTGGAATAGTATAAAGTAATCCTTCAACCCCCCCCGTGTGCTCGGTCGGAAATTCGGCCATGACTTGGTTATTAGCTTTAGATAGCTGGCCAGAATAACTTACCTAGCAATAAATAAATAAAATGCTGGTATCGAGTGACTCTCAGGCTGTGTTTAGGCAGGCAGCCCAATTCTGATATTTTTTCCCACTAATTGGTCTTTTGACCAATCACATCAGATCTTTTCACATCAGATCTTGGTCAAAAGACCAAGTAGTGTTTGACTTTATGTTTTGTTTTACCCCATATGTAACTCTGTGTTGTTGTTTTTATCGCACTGCTTTGCTTTATCTTGGCCAGGTCGCAGTTGTAAATGAGAACTTGTTCTCAACTGGCTTACCTGGTTAAATAAAGGTGAAAAAAAAAAAAAACAGACGACTGGCATAACAAGAAAAGAACTTGCTGATGCACTGCCAAACTTTGAAATTGCACCTTGTGTATTCTACTATTCTAACTCCTAACAGTAAGTTGAGACCCGACTGTGTTCCTAAATTATATTTTTTTTGGTGGAGGGCTCCCTAGCTGATGCGAGACCCTAAGCGGCCGCTCATGCTGCTTATTGGTAGGGCCGGCCCTATTGTAGAACAGATACAAATGCAACCAAATTGATATGTTCATAAGGCTAATAAGAAAATGTCAAATTACTGGAATATGGGAAATGTGTAACAATTTGTATTTGCATTATAAGTGAGTGAAATGCATCAGAGCGGTATTGGAAAGTTCAGGAAAACATCAGGGAAGATAATCAGGTAATAATTGTGTGTACAACAAAAATATCTGCATTGTTTTCAATTGCGGTTTTGTCACCGTCCCTTCTAACGTGTCCTGCGCGGCTTGTGAGCGTTGTAGAGGGAAACAGACAGAGGTTACTCACGAACGGAGGAGGAAGGCAAGACAACAGGAATGATGTATTATTAAACAAAATTATGACAAGTTCACAAGGCCCCTGATGATGTGAGGCCCCAGGCAACTGCCTGAGTTTCCTAATGCTAAATCCGCCACTAGGGACATGCAAGTCCAGTATATATTTTTATTCTAAAACAAAGTTTATTATACACAGCAGCTAAAAATGATACACACCTTGACTACACAAATTGAATGGATTTCTAAAGAGCTCATGTCCATAGATGTATTTGTTGGTAAACAAAGAGATTCGAAATCAGATGCAAAGCTTCAGGTGCTATACTATAAATGTACTTTCAAGCAACATTTTTTTTTTTTTTTACTTGCAGGTTCTAATAAAAATACACAAAAAGTAACTAGATCTTCCCATAATTTACATTTTTAAGGCATATGCACATGTATCCTAATTCTTTGGATTACATAGTAAGAGATTGAACAAAAGCCCTGGTTGGTCACTGAATTACACGCTATACAAAATCCAGATTCAAATGGGTAACGTTACATCTTAATTAAATATATTTGACTTCAGTGTTAAATCTCAACTCAGAGTTGGAATTTGTAAGGATCAATGAGAAAAATATGGTGCATAAAATGGTCAAGGAGTTAGGTAGGTGGTACTAGGTAGCCACAAATACCTCCAGCAACGTCCAGTTAGACTTCTAGCCAATCAACTCAAAAGAACAAAACCACACCATACATAAACCCCCAGAATATAACCCACATATACCCAGTGTGTAAAAAAGTTCAGAGGTAATTTACAATGAATCTGCTCAGCAAAGGGTCAGAGGTTACCCTTCACTAAAAACATAGTGCAACTGTTGTTGACATGAGTCAGGCCCTTGCAAGGGCAGCCAATGGGTCCTTGATCACATAGAGGGCCACGTCCCATTTCCTTTCCTTGTCTCCTTTCCTTCATAGCCACAGAAGGGTGAAATTATTGGATGGGTGTCCTGTGTTCCTCTCATAGAGGAATGTAGTCACAGAAAATAGAACAGGTTATTTGGCTGCGTTTAGACAGGCAGCCCAATTCAGATCTTTTTTTACACAGATCTTTTCACATTAGATCTTTTTCAGAGCTGATTTGATTGGCCTAAAGACCAATTAGTGAAGGAAAAAAAGAAAGATCAGAATTGCGCTGAATGTCTAAACGCAGCCTTTGAGAGTATTGGGACAGTACATTAAGATACTACTCCTTTCATTCATCTTAACTGATAGCCAAGAGTAATATGGAGAATATGTTTGGCTGCTGAGAGGCAGACCAGATCACGCTACACTGAATAGGACCGTATCCTACCATAGTGTGTCTACACACACACACACAACATTATATATTACACAATGACAACACAAAGAAATCCCTGTGAGCATTTGGTCCTTCAGTCAAGTGACCTAAGTGAGTGACAGATGTAAGTACACTTCTAAGCTTAAGGGCACTTTCAAACCAATGCAACCAATGCTTCAAAACCACAGCAGACAGCTTTTTTCAGAGAGCAGTGTACAGGATACAAGTGAATGAAATGGCAGATTTACACTACCATGTCCAACAGATGAGATGGGGACATTTTGTTGCACCCCATCCTGACTAGGGGTCTGTCAACCAATGTAAAACCTAACAATGTTTCTCCACTTCACCATATCCTGCCCCCCAAACACACATTCAGTGGACAACCCTGAATCGGCACACGCAAAACACGTTGCAGGCATTTTGGTTTGATGGCACCCTAAAATTGAAGACATGTATCCTACATGGCAACATCTCTCTGCATTTGGCAGGTAATTAAAACAATACCCATCAGATTAATTAACTAAATGATTTACATACTGCATGTCGAAAAAGACAAGCTCTCACGCTACCAGAACATACCTTCATTGCAAATAGCTACATAAAAACCAAGGTGACCAAGATGGAATATGATTCAATAACAATTGCACAGCAGAAAAGGAACACAAAACCTAAGTCACCCTCAATTACAACCATAATGTATAATAACAAAAAATGTATTTTGGATACCACTGATATAAACATATTTTAATATCAAAACCAAAAGGCCTGGAGACAAATGAAATAAGCTGCGGAAATAAGTGTTCTTCGTAATGAAATGAAAAGCATTTTCTTCATACATCTACCTCATAGAGGACGTTGTTTCGACATAACTCCAATGTAGATAATGTCGTTTTTATTCAAATAGCTGCTATATACACACACACACACACAGACACACACACAGACACACACATATATATATATATAGCTATAGCCTATGTTCTGGCCTACACAATGTTGCTAATTCTCTCTCTCCGCCCATCTTTCTCCCTCTCCTGCATGGCTGAACTTGGTACGTGTCCATCGCTCGTCAGGATGTTTATCGACTCCAATACCCAGGGGACCTAAGAGATTGTGTGTGTCCTAACACAGGACTCACGTACTGTAGTGGTCCTGAAACAAAGAAGATACACAACAGGTAAGAACCTACCGCTTACACTGTACCAGTTGTTTGAGGAGTGTTGACGCTGCATAATCAGGTAACCTTTAAATAAAGTTTCCCTTGTATACAATGTACTTTGGTAACCAGTATGTTGTATCTAGCATGCCTTTAACATTTACCAAATAGTCACTGATATTGTTGTTACTCTGCACTTACATAGTAATTACATCAAGAAACTGGATTTCCAATTGGAAAATTGATAATATAAAAAGGGTCTTTGTGTTGAAATTGCCTTAAAGTCACAGTAACGCATTCACTTCAGTATGTGGCTCATGTGGGAGTCAATCTGCTGCTACAACCAAGCTCCAACCAACAGGGCCATCTGAACCACAAACCTGAATGGATGTGACTACTCCACTGGCCATGACCGACAGCCTCCCGGCCGCAGAGCGGACCCCCAGCTTCAGCTGGGACATGTCTGGAGCACTGGGCAGGATGTTGGTCAGACGATATGAGCTGGCTGCATGGGGCCCGGAGAGAGAGGTGGTTAGTAACATCAGTGGTGGTGGCAGTTGCTTTATAATGATCATTCTTCTGATGGATAAATGGTGTATACATGCAGGGCCTGGATTCATAAAGCCTCTCAGACTAGGAGTGCTGATCTAGGATCAGGTCTCCTGTCTAATTCATTATGATCTTAAAAGGCAAAACTGATCTTAGATCCGCACTCCTACTCGGAGATGCTTTGTGAATACGAGCCCTGGTGTTCACTTGAACACTTGGTTAAATGTACACTTGAAAGTGTGATTATATGAATGGTTAAGTTGTGGCGAAATCCTGCACGGAGCCTTCACCGTGCGCTGCCACTTTAAGAGCGCATCAGCAGTCAGAAGGAAATAAAGATAGCTCTTCCGGCTCTCTGTGGGGAGCTCTCGGTTGGCGCGGCAGTTTGATCGTGTGTGCAACTCTGCAGATCTCATGTTTATTTTCAGCGTGCTTAGCTGGTAAAGTGTTTAAGTCGATCGGCGGTGTTACCGCTCTAGGTTGTAATCTTTTGGGAACACACCCACACCCATTCATACCCCCAGCTCACTCCTCCACTGCACTGGGACTTAATACAGAATATTGCAAATTCTCTAAGATTGATGACTGGGTTCTTTCTTAATTGTTTCTAAGAAGTGGCCTTTAAATTGCTCTGTCATTATTCTTGTATGAGGTATTATTGGTTGGGTTCCCCCTGTGCTGTAACGTGTGTAACTTCTCCTTTCTGTCCACTGGCTATCTGGCCAACAGGCTACACTCTAGTAGCAATACTCCATCTATCCTACCCTTTTCCTTTGGGCAGGGTTAATACCTGCCTGGCGCCCCAACAAACATATTTATCTTTACCCCTCTAACAATACCGCTACAAAGTGTACACTTGTTGGCTTCCCTACCAGTCTGTTTCTTTGGGTCATCAAACAGGTCAGCTGAGCTGATGGAGTTGCTCCCAGAGAACCTCTCCAGGCGAGTCTTCGCCTCGTACTGCATGGAAACAACCACATTAATACTTTATACTACAAATTACATATCTAATACTAAACAATGAACATACTATTACACATAGGGGTTTTACTGTAACAGGGATTTTCAGGTGGATAAAAAGGACAGTAGTTGTAGATAATATCAATCAAAAAGCAAAGTTGCAACAGGGAGACACAGCAAGAACAGAAGCAGCCTTCTCTGAAAAATACCTTAACACCGAATGAACTGTAAACACCAGCCTGAGAGGCTTGTAAGAATGTCACAGACTAGCGTTAAACTTTAACCATAACAGTCAACACTGGCAGACATTTGATACTGGCAGTTAAACAGGTCAAAAAAGGTAGGAACATTCGTACAACAGATAATTATTCAAATAATTTTGCATTACAATTACACTTTTTTAAATGTATTTCTTTGTTGTTGTGTGTCCCGTGACAGTGTGCCTACCTCAGAGTCGTCCTGCTTGCCAAAGTACATGTCAGAGGAGATGGCCTTGACATCTCCAAACTTCTTGCGGGCTTCACCTGAGTCCGATACAGGGACTGGGTCTGCTTTCCGCCGGGCTGCAGTCCTGTGTGTGTATGAGTGAGAGAGAGAGAGGGAGGGTGCATTCAGTGAACAACTGCAGTGAGAAACTTGAAATATAAAAAAACAATTAAATAGTGGCTCAGGGGACTTATCCGGCCAAAATAAAAAGTTACTTTTTCATATGCATCTCTGTATTTTCATCCCTGGAAATCAAACAGTTATATAGTACCTGTCGTCCTGTGAAGAACTCTTGGTGCTCAGGTAGAAGTCTGGCTCCTTGCTCTCTTTCCTCCAGCCAGACTCCCCAGTCTCGTTCCAATTGGAGAAGAACTTGTCAGAGGATTCTGTCGGGTCATCAAACTTGGTCATTGAACTGGTCATCGACATCCTGAAGGGGTTCATATGGAAAAGAGAGCTCAGTCTAGATTGTAACTGATTTCGTTTTTTGGGCGAGTCAAATCCTGCCAGATCATAGCCTGGTCCCAGATCTTTTTGTGATGTCTTTCCAACTCCCATTACAAGACAACACAAATATCTGAGACCAGGCTAGCCATATTAGTGATTACTTCCAAGAAGGAATGACAGAAGGAATGATCCATTGCTAAAGTATTGGAACGTGGCCGGAGTTTGTAGGTGGTGTGGTCACCTGGATGTAAAGGAGCCTTCGTCGGTCTCCTCTTCCTCCTTCTCTGTGTATCTCCGGCTCTTAGTGGGCTGCTTGGACCCCACTGGGCTCTCCTGCTGGATGGTGTGCATGTCTGACAGCACAGAGTGAGACACTCCACTAGAGGGAGATACAGAGGGGGAGGGAGGGACACAATGGAGTCAAATAATCATCATAGTATTTGTTACCACAATATCTCCAATGGTTACAACATGTTTCACTCCCAATAACAATGTAATTATTTTAGATCAGTGTTTCCCAAACTAGGGGTCATGACCACATGTGGGGGTCACCTGATTTGAAAATGGGGTCGCGAGAGAAAATTCGAACTTGGTTCATTGAACCAGGGTTTTGTCAGTTTAACCTCTGTTGCCGCTAGATGTGGTTGTAATAAACAGAGTGGTTTGTTTTCTTCTTACAATGTGTCTCTATCTTTTGAACCGTTTAAACTACAAAATATTATGACCGGGATTGGGCTCCCGAATGGCGCAGTGGTCTAAGGCACTGCATCTCGGTGCTTGAGGCGTCACTACAGACCCCCTGGTTCAATTCCAGGCTGTATCACAACCGGCCGTGATTGGGAGTCCCATAGGGCGGCGCACAATTGGCCCAGCGTCGTCCGGGTTTGGCCGGTGTAGGCCGTCATTGTAAATAAGAATTTGTTCTTAACCAACTTGCCTAGTTAAATAAAAGGTTAAATCAAAAAATCAAAAATAAAACAGAGTCACTGAAAGATAAGACTCCCAGGAACACGTAAGGTTTCCCTTTACTAGCCATTAGAACTGAGTGGACAAGACCAGGCACTAAATCAGACTGGGGGAAAAAGAACATCAATGATGATGTTCCTTTCTACACAGAAGACCATACAACATTATTGCCTGATGATCACCTGAACGTCCCAATAACCTTCTGATGCATTTCAGTCACTTCAAACCATAGTCTTCAGATTGAAATACTGCCCAAAAATACTGTCTGACTGATTTCTAAGACTGTCATAGCGCAAACTAAAAAAGTTAACATTGGCTGATGACTACATAACATTTTTTTACATGGTGGGTTCGCAAAATGGGGTTGCGTGCCCAAAAAGTTAGGGGTGAGTGACTTATCCCCTGCAATGTAAAGTACCCCTTTAAAACTATGCTACATAGGCCATCTGTAAAAAGTGTGTTTATAAATAAACTAATCCTCTTATCATCACCGCCACCACCATCAATTCAATCCCCCCACCTCCTGCTGCCAAAGCCCATGCCCAGTCTCTCAGCCTGTTCCTTCTTCTTCTCTCCCATCCCCTTCATCTTCTCTCTGTTACTCCTCTGCTGCTCCTCCAGATCCTTATAGGCCAGTCTCATGGAGGCACCACTGGAGAAAGCGAGAGAGAGAGTTTGAGAGAGAGACTTGTGTGTGTAATGTTTACTATACATGTCTCTGTCTCAGGCCAATAAAGCCCATTTTAATTGAAATTGGAGACAGAGAGACTCACATGGATTCCCCTGCTGGTTGGGGGCGGTTCTTGGTGGTGGTGGGTGCTGTATCTCTCTCATTGATTTTGTCGACCGCCTGTGCTTTCTTCTCCAGGTCACAGAAACTCTGTTTGCTCACCTTCTTACCCCCAAGACCACCTTTCTTAGCGCCCAACTGAGACAAAACACAGGACACCGACGTGAATACGTGCCTACTAATCTACTGACAAACAACATCCATAAGAGATGTATACAGTCTATTCACACTAAAGCACCCCCCCCCCCCCCCCCACACACACACACAAACATAGCCCAATGCAAGTTAAGCATCACCAAATTCACTCTTAATCACATTCAAGAGCACAACACACATAGGTACCGGGGAGGAACATTACCTCCCTAGTCCACTTTCATAGAGTACATACGGTTTTCTTGGCCCCTGCTGGTTTCTTCTTGAGAAGAGAGGAGGACTCTGTAAGGGAGAAGGAACAGTGGGCATTAGAAATACAGTTTATAGAAACTGCTAAGAGCTACTGACCCAGGCTCAGATATTTAATGTCCTCCTAACGCTTAAGGTTCTAGTTGAGTATCTCTTAAGTCTCTAGGGCATAAGCTCTTGGTCCTCTTACCTAAGGATTCTTTAGGAGACACACTTAGCACGTCAACACTGGGACCCTCTGTATTACCTGAAGACAGAAAGAGTTGAGGGCATAGACGACATGGACACACAGATGCAAGTGTATATGTGTGTGTGTTTCTAGTGTAAATATTGACGTAGAGGTGCACCGTTTTTGTCTCTCTCGGTTTCTTTTGTAGATGGTTCCTCTACTGGGGTGGGGCTTAGATTCATCTGGGCTGAGCTTGTTATATTAGGCTGGGCGGAGCTACGATCATCAGGGAATGCCTGCTAAAATACGCAAGGTAAGGAACAAGACCATGTAAACAACATGCACACACCCATAACCTTGTACAATTTCAAACAAATAAGTATTAACAGTCTAACAGTCACACACACACTTAGGGAAGTGCACACACACACCTGTGTGTGCATACTGAAGAAATCCTCCTCCTTATTGACGGGAGATGTTGGAGAGAGTGGGGCCTGGCTGTCCAGCCACAACTGCAGGGAAACGAAAACAGAGGATTCATTGGCATCTATAAGGACCTATGTACACAATCATTCATTCAGCCATGTTGATGCGACACGATTATGTTGTTAAAGACAGTATAACAAGTAACCAATGTTGACTAAATCCATTTTTGCCCAGTGGAACGTCTGGATGGATGTGTGTGGTACCTCAGTGCCGAAGCGCCTTGTGGCCTGCGTGGCCGAGATCTTGATCTTCTCGCGGTATAGCGCAGCGGCTCGGCTGTTGTACTTGGTGTTGGCGGCATTGGACGTGCAGCCTTGCTGGGCAAAGAAGGCATTCTGAGAGACGGGGGGAAATGGTTTGAATTATACATTGTCTGTAATACAAAGGCGTTATAATAGTATTGCATACATCATACAGGTCTCATAGAAATAATGCTCACTCATGCAGTCAGAAACAGAACTACTAGTACAACCCTCTGAGCGCTTAACAACACAGCAGGTTGGGATGTGGCTGCCCACCAGTCAGTGCCCACCGTGGATGGCTTTACTCACCGCGCTGGCGTTGCCGCCCACCTGCATGCATCGCACCTGGTACCAGGACCAGTTAGAGTCCAACTCAGTAGACCTGAAACAAACAGTACATGGTTCTGGTTCTGAACACTCCATCGGGCCATAATGTGTCTAAACTGCATGTTGTATGAAGCCAATGGCCCTGTCCAGAAACAACCGCTAGCACCTACCCACTAGTGTAGATCTGAAAGAACAGGATAGGTCTAAGTAATATAGCAGTTAAACATTAGACCCATCCAGTCCTGACAAGTGCCTATGGGGTAGGCGACAAATGTTGTTTTTCATTCATTGCTCCTTACCTGATGAATGACAGGTGCACTCCTAATGACCTGTGTGTTCCTGAGCAGTCTATACAGAGAAACACTCCATAGGTGATACTGGCCCAACTAGGATTCTTAGCTGAACAGTCAAAGCACGCCTGTAATAGAAAAGAAGTTAAGCAACATGTGAGTTGAATACAGACAAGGTGTTCGCTGTCCCCTTTATGCAGTGATAAGTCTATGGGGACATTGATAAGCAAGTTAATATGAGCGCATGCCAAATAGATAGCGAAACACTAACAATGAAGCAACCCAGTAGCGTGGAGGTCTGAAGTGCAAAATATTGACCTCATACTGTATGTATGCATGGATGTATGTATGTATATATATTTATTTATTTTATACTACTATTCCTTTCTTGTCTAAACAAATCGTTTTTTTTTTAATTGCCTCTACTTGTCCGCATATTAAGAGAACGCCAACATTAACCAAAAGTAGATTTAAGCTAACTAGTTACACATGTTGCAATATAGTGTAAACAATGTTTCCAAAACAGCTTTTCGATGCTTGCGGTTGCAACATCGTCGCGTTTAATGTAGGCCTAAACAGCAGACGGAAACAGCTGGAATCGACAGTTTATGAGCAGAAGGTATTGTTTACGTCGGTGTGAGGTCTTTGTGGTGTCCACGAGTCAACATTTACCAGCGATCTATAATTTAGAATAAATACACTGACGGTAATGTAATGGACTGTCCAACCAGAGTTCTTAAAGTACCATCTTTGATCCAACTGTCATCATGCCACATGACAGCTGGCTCGGCGTGGCTGTCCAGGATGTCCTATATATCGTTCTATTTAAACTGCGCACGTTAACAAATAATTTCTTAAACACTGCAAAAATCTCCTTTGGCAGGAGGACATGCAATGGGCATACGTGGTTCAAAGCTTTTCCATGTGCATTTGTTACGACGCATCTTCCCTTGCCCAGCAAAACAGTGCGACGTGTCATTTTTCCCCTCGCTCTGAAGCTAGCTAGCGCTACTTCCTAGTTAAAGAACGAGAGCATATCAAGACACCGCTTATCAACTCTCACCTTATTCGTAGAAAGGGAACGTAGTCGTTTGAAAATTGTGGAAATATCTTGCTTGGTGGGCTCTGACATCTTTCCACCTGTTGTTAATTTCACCTGATAGGTAAAGTTTAGCAAATTTGTTTCCCTGGGAGTCAAAAAGGATTCCGAACTCTTGTCATGGGTAAAGGCACACGTCAGAACGATAACATTTTTGGCGCTGCTCTGATTGGTCAGCAATAACACGTGGGCATTGCTATTGTAACATGGAAGTCTGGGTAATGAAGTTCAATTTCTTTCTATTATCCTTGACACTATGTTTAATTGAAAAAAGAAAAGAAATGACAACAGTGAAACTTCTCTTTTCGTTCAATTCATTTATAATGTATGCTGTGGGATAACATTGACAAATTGAGTTGTGCAAGTAAAGCTGCTGCTGACTGTGTTCTGTTGATGACATGACCTGAAACGCACAGCATAACCTCTCACACTGACAGAAAACTAATATCAAACCAAATCTATCTTCCCCTCGAAATGCGGTTGTAGGCATAAAATGTAGGTGATATTTCCAGGAGCATCATGTGAGCGCATTCTTTAGCAAACACTAATGTAAGAGCCATAACATCAACTCCCAATATGAGAAACATATACTAGAGATGGGAATTGGGATAGGTCCTATACCATATATAGTTTGCCAATACTGGTAATGCACATGTGGTGGAGTTAAGGGTGTGTGTGTCTCAATCATTCATTAACTTTGAAAAGAAAATGAGAAAAAATATAATCTGTTATTTGTCAATTACTAATCATACGTAGTAGGCTATGGCCCCTCTGGATAAAAATTGTAATTATATTTACAAATGCAACAAGACAGCAAATTCACAAGACATTCGCAATAAAACATACAATTATTGTACAAACTGATTTTTTTTCTCCGAATCACAGCATTTCGTCCGACAGAGAAGAACAAAAGCACTTAAGGCATCTCATAAATTAACAGTCTTCAATTTCCAAATAAAAATCACCACAACTCCCTAATCTTTAACTGCTTAAGTTGTTCGTAGGTTCCTCGCTATTTACATGCAAACATACTTTTATTAAATCGGACCCTCTAGTTTGTGAAAAACAGTAAAAACTGTGGTTTTTATTGCTGAACGTGTAACATTGTTTCGCTGGCACAAAAAAAAAATATATTCTCCCAAAGCTTTGAATTCGACATCCAGTGCAAGCTGGGGCTAAAGCTCCTAACTTCAAGTGAGACACCTTATTCCCAAACATTCAGTGTTGGAAGAAAAAAACAACATTCACATGAAGTAAAAATCTACCAACAGAATGTGAAGTCAATTGTGTGAATAGCGGTTGTCACAAATGGCACCCTATTTCCTATATAGTGCACTACGTTTGACCAGAACCCTATGTGCCCTGGTGAATGTCCCTGATACTAAAATGACCAGCAAACGTGTACAATCAATAGGTGAGCCGATACAATCAAACAATTCAAGAATATACAATCAATTAAGGCAGAGGGGTAAAGGTTACAGGAAAACTTATTAAAAGCTGTGAGGGTGAGTGCGTCACTTATTGATAAAATGTGGGTTGGAGCAACCTGGTATCAGAGCATTTAAGTAAAGAATAATACGAAATGCTGAGACCCAGCTGGTTGGAGACGGTGGAAGAACTGGATAGAATTAATCATATCGGTTTCTCTCATTCATCAACTATTCGCTGAGAAAAAAAGTATATTTCTAATCAGATTTAAAATACAAAAAAGGGATGATGAGACTTGACAAATGTGAACTATAGGCATCATATACAATGTTGTTGTGTAAAACCTAATTGTTCAGAACCGGCACTGCCATGAATCCCAAGCCCTTCACTCAAAAGATTTGAAAAAGTCTAAAATAAGAAAACGGGTTGTAGGTTCTGATATTTCGGACAAATGGCTTTCATAATGTAAAAAAACAACAACATCGATTACTGTCAAAAGGATGGGGTGAAGGACATTCAAAACAGCGCAAGAAATAACATGCAATTGCAAATTCCCCCTATTTCGACACAAGGCTTCCAAATCGCATCCTGGACTCCAAACTGGTGTTACAATAGAATCAGATCTATAGAACTAAAAATATGTATCACCAACTGTCTACAGCAAAAATGAATTAAAGAGTCAACCGAGAGATTGATTGGAGACCTAAAAGTAGTTTCAAATAAAATCAAATCTAAAATGTGCAATAGACACATGTATATCCTCTCCCATGTCTGTTCACATCTTTTAAATCTGTTTATTCCTTCAATATCTTCATAACTTCAAGCTACAATTGGAGATTTACATGTTTTCAATAGCTTTTTATATTTTTTCTGTAACAGTAATGGCTTTAAGTAACATGTGCATTTGTAGCTGGCTTTAGACTCTGTACTGGGTGTCCCATCATAAAAGTTGACAATGAGAGCAGGCCGTAGTTGTAGGAAGATTTGTGTTTGTGCACATGGGATCCAGGAAGATAAAACAGAGAGAGCTACATCATCATCTCATCTTCGATGGGCAAACCCCTTCCTTCTGCCACCCCCTTTCTCCCCACCCACCCCCACTGTGGCCAGCCTCTACCACGTAGGGGGTGAGAGGGGTGAATGCGAGGCCTGCCCCACCCCGCCCACCCTCCTGCCCCATCTCCTCCTCCACATCCTCCTCCTCTCTCTCTTTTTCCTCCTCGTCCTTCGCTCTGTCATTACTGGATGTCTTCTACGTAGTTGGCGGGGTAGAGGCCCACCACGCCATCTTTCAGGCGCCCTCTGCACCAGCCCTGGTCGTCCTCGTTTCCTATCTTGGTGAACTCCTCGCCTTCAGGACAAAAAGGAGAACAGGGAGGAAGGGACAGATTATTATGTGAAAAGATAGTGGTAGATGATGAGCATGTCTTTCTGTTGAGCAGTTTCAAAAATGATCTGTGACTCACAATTCAGCCTCACTCACTTTTCTCTGTGTTCTAATGGTCATAGATAACTGATCTGACAGGACATGGCAAGTAAAAGAAGACTGGTGGAGACATCCAGTCCTTTCACTTAGCAGTGGTCATACAGGGCAGGGGACTTTTCACTCGCATAGTCTTTCAAGTATTCTCGCAGTCACTCACACACAAGCACACACACCTGCTTTGAAGCTGAGTTCATCCTGCTCCTGTCCTTCGTAGTCGTAGATGGCGCGCACGGCCACAGACACCACTGAGGATGCCGGCTCCACCTCAAATGGGTTCCCGTCGCCGTTGGCGTCCTCCATGGAAAACGGGTTCACCCCAGTCTCCTCATCCGACCACTCCTGCGACTTCTCCACACTGCTGGCGCTAGACGGACACAGAGGAGCCAATCAATATAAGGGACATTTGAAAATGTCACTTGTCAATCATGCCCTGCTCACACACCGATTGGACAATCCAGCATGCCAGGCGAGAGAAGCGGGAACAAAAAGAGTTAAGAGGGCCTGGTAGAACAACGACACCAATGTAGAGTACAGCACAACACGTAGAAGGCCCAGCAAATGCATCTCCGAATCCACCCGGATACATAGACTGTAAGCATATAGGTTTCTCCCTTCCTCTCTCAAATCAACCAATGGGGGAAAAAACATGCCTTTTTAGGAAACCAATGCTGTGAGGTTTTGTTGGCGAATGGATTTGTGAGTTTGCTTTGACACCACTTGGAGTGGACACACAGACAGAGTGCTGAGGTAAGGCAAGGCAACACAATGGCACAGTGACACGAGTGCAGTACAAAAGCATGGTTGGAGTTCACCCCATCCACCACTGGAGGGAGGTAGATGTACAGTAATCAGATGAACAAACACCCTTCTTCCCCAGTCAGAGAAAACCCATGAAACACACACACACACATCCTCAGGTTACAGTCAGACCCTTGCAGCTGGTACACTCAAACACCTTTGTCATCTCATAGTTCCTGCTTTATGCCAGAGAGACTGAGACACACACACACTGTTGACTTTATGAGTGCCGGTTTCTCTGCCCGGCCTTGAGTCAATATCAGACCTGGCGTAAAACAGGACCCAATATAGGTTTATATAAGTTCAAGACAGGCTTTTGTTTAAAGTCAAAATTCTATAGAAATTGTATTTTTAAGTTCCAACTTGCAACAGATCTGACTGTACAGTAACCACAGACAGGAAAAATACATACACACACGCGCAGAAAGGATGCTCTGCAGGACTTGGCAGTTGGTACTGTTAGGAGTAATGACTAATGTAGGGTTGGTGTGATCGCTCACTGAGAGCCCATGCACAGTAACACAGCCTGCCGCTAGCCAGGGAGAGGGAAGGAGAGAGGAGGAGAGAGGAGGAGAGAGGAGGAGAGGGGAGGAGAGGGGAGGGAAGGAGAGCGGAGGAGAGAGGAGGGAAGGAGAGAAGAGGAGAGGGAAGGAGAGCAGAGGAGAGGGGAGGGAAGGAAAGGGAAGGAGAGAGGAGGGAAGCGGTAGAAAAAAGAAAGGAGGGGTGAGAAAAGAGAGAGCGAGAGAGGGAAAAGGGAGGAGAGGAATAAAAGAGAAGTAATGAAAAATAAAGATGGTAGAGGACAGAAAGGATGTGCCTCAATAGTGTGTTATTGAAGTGTTTCTCAGGGGTGCACATTTTTGTTTTAGCCCAGCACTAGCTCACCTGGTTCAACTACTCAACTAATCAGCAAGCCCTGTGTGCTAGTGCTTGGCTGGAACAAACATGTGCAGCCCTGAGAAACACTTGTGTAACACTAAAATAGTAAATTCACCCAAAGACTGAGGGAAAGAGAAAACAAGAAGAGAGGGAGGGAAGGAAAGCAGGGAGAGGAGTGGGTCTCTTTTTCACCAACGTTTTCACTTCCTCCACTTTTTTGACATTGAGCGGACTGCGGTTGTTGTTGTTGTTGACGACAGTGGGCTGTTCCTTCATGGTCTCCTGGAGATCCTCGTCGTCGTCATCCTCGAAGGGGTTCGAACCCACCGGCTCTGTGCTAGTGGGCACAGTCAGGCTGACCACACGGAGAGAGGCATTTGTGACACACACATACACATACTCATACACACCTTGAATCCAGACAGCTTCGTGACATAGCAAAAGCTGAATCGAAAACCTTGGATGAGGGTTTAGGACATAATGGACACACAACGAGTACACAAGTGACACGTCCAACCATAACCAATTAAATAGACAATATGAGCATTGTGACAACAAACACATGACGAGGCAACGCTGGTTACGTATGTTTTTTAGACATCCATTGTGACACTAGGAGAGTCACACAAAATAAGCATGTTAAGTTGACAAATAAGAAGTGGCCAGTTTTCCATTCCAATTTTCATTCATACAACATTTATACACCTTCACCAATTCCTCTTCTGCTTTTACTAGCATTTTATTAGTGCTTTTCCCCAGCTGATACTCTCTGGGTTTGAGAAAACGTTCCAATTCTTGACTTCACCAGGAATGAATTCTGAATTCCAATTTGACCCATATAACAGCCCATTTCCCTAGACACTTCAGGTAGATCTGAGAGGATCAGATTGGTTTAAGCAATATGGCAATAGCTCCATCTTGCCCTCTGATTGGCTAGGTCAAAGCATCACCATATTAGTGACACCTATCTTGAAGAAAAAAACAATGTTATCTAGAGAAGTACCTTGGGTTAGAGACTGGGGGTAGATTTGGAATTCCACACTAGTCTGCTGTGAGAATGAATTACAATGAAGTCACCCTAGACATTGATCTACAGTCAGTTTTGTATTTCCCCCCTAATAGTTAAGGTTAGGATTTGGGGAAGGTAAGCTGATCCTAGGCCTGTGCTTAGAGGCAACTTCAACCAGGAACATCATATGTTTACAGTGCAGTTGGACCATGGCACGTAGTAGCTATCTGTCCAATCACAACGTCACTGCACTGTGGACAAAATGTGAACACCTTTATTGACAGTCACGGCACTACGCTCTCTGAGGTAACCAAATCTCTCCCAGAGGAGTTGAAACACCAAATAAACACTGAACGGCGGCAACAATGTAACTTTAGTTGGCAGAAGTCAGGAAAAAAAGGATGTTATATTAGGTCTCAGACCAATACCAGTCTGCTTTTAGGTGATAGGCACAACTGTTCCTTGTAGATTATATATAGGGTAATAGTCGATCGTTAGTCGCCCATAAACAACTTTTAAAGTAAGCAAATTATAAAATGCCCATATAGCAGTGAACTATCCCTTTACGGGGGATAGCTAGATAGATGTACTATCCCTTGTAGTGGTTGTACCTCTGATTTTGCTAGAGCGTAGGAATGTGGACCAACTCTCATAATACATGAACATGAGGAAGGAGTGTGGTTATACTACAGTCCAGACAAGATGTTCACTGTTACCCCCTTTTCCTTATATGGCCATTGTTTGTACAGTCTATTGTTTGTGTTGCTGTGAAAATGCATTTCCACTTTGAGTACAACTAATCTTGACTGAAGTGTACAATGGAAATGCGCACACACACACACTTGTTTCATTATCCTTGTGGGAACCAAACAATTGATTCCCATTCAAAATCAAATTTTCCCTATCCCTAAACTTTTCTGAGCCGAGGTCACTGAGTCAAAATGCAGGCAGAGAGCTAATGAGATCTGAAGTCACCCTAGACATTGATCTAGGGTCAGTTTTGTATTTTCCCCCTAATGGTTAAGGTTAAGGTTTGTGGAAGGTAAGCTGATCCTAGATCTGTGCTTTGTAGATATATATACACACAGTACCAGTCAAAAGTTTGGACACACCTACTCATTCAAGGGTTTTTCTTTATTTTTTACTATTTTCTACATTGTAGAATAATAGTGAAGACATCAAAACTATGAAATGACACATATGGAATCATGTAGTAACCAAAAAAGTGTTAAACAAATCAAAATATTTTATATTTGAGATTCTTCCAAGTAGCCACCCTTTGCCTTGATGACAGCATTGCACAGTCTTGGCATTCTCTCAACCAGCTTCATGAGGTAGTCACCTGGAATGCATTTCAATTAACAGGTGTGCCTTGTTAAAAGTTCATTTGTGGAATTTCTTTCCTTCTTAATGCGTTTGAGCCAATCAGTTGTGTTGTGACAAGGTAGGGGTGGTATACAGAAGATAGCCCTATTTGGTAAAAGACCAAGTCCATATTATGGCAAGAACAGCTCAAATAAGCAAAGAGAAATGACAGTCCATCATTACTTTAAGACATGAAGGTCAGTCAATCCGGAACATTTCAAGAACTTTGAACGTTTCTTAAAGTGCAGTCGCAAAAACCATCAAGCGCTATGATGAAACTCGCTCTCATGAGGACCACCACAGGAAAGGAAGACCCAGAGTTACCTCTGCTGCAGAGGATAAGTTCATTAGAGTTAACTGCACCTCAGATTACAGCCCAAATAAATGCTTCAGAGTTCAAGTAACAGACACATCTGAATATCAACTGTTCAGAGGAGACTGCGTGAATCAGGCCTTCATGGTTGAATTGCTGCAAAGAAACCACTACTAAAGGACACCAATAATAAGAAGAGACTTGCTTGGGCCAAGAAACACGAGCAATGGACATTAGACCGGTGGAAATCTGTCCTTTGGTCTGATGAGTCCAAATTTGAGATATTTGGTTCCACCGCCGTGTCTTTGTGAGACACAGAGTAGGTGAACGGATGACCTCCGCATATGTGGTTTCCACCATGAAGCATGGAGGAGGTGGTGTGATGGTGTGGGGGTGGATTGCTGGTGACACGGTCAGTGATTTATTTAGAATTCAAGGCACACTTAACCAGCATGGCTACCACAGCATTCTGCAGCGATACGCCATCCCATCTGGTTTGCGCTTAGTGGGACTTTCATTTGTTTTTCAACAGGACAATGACCCAACACACCTCCAGGCTGTGTAAGGGCTATTTTACCAAGGAGAGTGATGGAGTGCTGCATCAGATGACCTGGCCTCCACAATCCCCCGACCTCAACCAAATTGAGATGGTTTGGGATGAGTTGGACCGCAGAGTGAAGGAAAAGCAGCCAACAAGTGCTCAGTATATGTGGGAACTCCTTCAAGACTGTTGGAAAAGCATTCCAGGTGAAGCTTGTTGAGAGAATGCCAAGAGTGTGCAAAGCTGTCATCAAGACAATGGGTGGCTGTTTGAAGTTTGAAATATATTTTGATTTGTTTAACACTTTTCTAGTTACTACATGATTTCATATGTGTTATTTCATAGTTTTGATGTCTTCCCTATTATTCTACAATGTAGAAAATAGTAAAAATAAAGAAAAACCCTTGAATGAGTAGGTGTGTCCAAACTTTTGACTGGTACTGTCTGTGTGTGTGTGTGTGTGTGTGTATGTGTATGTATATATAAATAAATAATACTCGATAGTTAGTTGCCCATAAACAACTTTTAAAGTGAACAAATTATAAAAATGCCCATATAGCAGTAAACTATCAATTTAAGGGGGGATTGTTAGATAGATGTGCTTTCCCTTTAAGGGGGATAGCTCAATAGATGTATTTTCCCTTTAAGGGGGATAGCTAGATAAATGTACAGTCGTGGTCAAAAGTTTTGAGAATGACACAAACATCCATTTTTATGATGGCAATTTGCATATACTCCAGAATGTTATGAAGAGTGATCAGATGAATTGCAATTAATTTCAAAGGCCCTGCCACAAAAGGACCAGCTGACATCATGTCAGTGATTCTCTCGTTAACACAGGTGAGAGTGTTGACGAGGACAAGGCTGGAGATCACTCTGTCATGCTGATTGAGTTAGAATAACAGACTGGAAGCTTTAAAAGGAGGGTGGTGCTTGAAATCATTGTTCTTCCTCTGTTAACCATGGTTACCTGCAAGGAAACACGTGCCGTCATCATTGCTTTGCACAAAAGGGGCTTCACAGGCAATGATATTGCTGCTAGTAAGATTGCACCTAAATCAACCATTTATCGGATCATCAAGAACTTCAAGGAGAGAGGTTCAATTGTTGTGAAAAAGGCTTCAGGGCGCCCAAGAAAGTCCAGCAAGCGCCAGGACCGTCTCCTAAAGTTGATTCAGCTGCGGGATCGGGGCACCACCAGCTCAGGAATGGCAGCAGGCAGGTGTGAGTGCATCTGCATGCACAGTGAGGCGAAGACTTTTGGAGGATGGCCTGGTGTCAAGAAGGGCAGCAAGGAAGCCACTTCTCTCCAGGAAAAACATCAGGGACAGACTGATATTCTGCAAAAGGTACAGGGATTGGACTGCTGAGGACTGGGGTAAAGTCATTTTCTCTGATGAATCCCCTTTCCGATTGTTTGGGGCATCCGGAAAAAAGCTTGTCCGGAGAAGACAAGGTGAGCGCTACCATCAGTCCTGTGTCATGCCAACAGTAAAGCATCCTGAGACCATTCATGTGTGGGGTTGCTTTCTCAGCCAAGGGAGTGGGCTCACTCACAATTTTGCCTAAGAACACAGCCATGAATAAAGAATGGTACCAACACATCCTCCGAGAGCAACTTCTCCCAACCATCCAAGAACAGTTTGGTGACGAACAATTCCTTTTCCAGCATGATGGAGCACCTTGCCATAAGGCAAAAGTGATAACTAAGTGGCTCGGGGAACAAAACATCGACATTTTGGGTCCATGGCCAGGAAACTCCCCAGACCTTAATCCCATTGAGAACTTGTGGTCGATCCTCAAGAGGCGGGTGGACAAACAAAAACCCACAAATTCTGACAAACTCCAAGCATTGATTATGCAAGAATGGGCTGCCATCAGTCAGGATGTGGCCCAGAAGTTAATTGACAGCATGCCAGGGCGGATTGCAGAGGTCTTGAAAAAGAAGTGTCAACACTGCAAATATTGACTCTTTGCATAAACTTAATGTAATTGTCAATAAAAGCCTTTGACACTTATGGAATGCTTGTAATTATACTTCAGTATAATATGTAACTCTGTGTTGTTTTTATCGCACTGCTTTGCTTTATCTTGGCCAGGTCGCAGTTGTAAATGAGAACTTGTTCTCAACTGGCTTACCTGGTTAAATAAAGGTGAAATAAAAATAAATAAAAAATACCATAGTAACATCTGACAAAAATATAAAAAAACACTGAAGCAGCAAACTTTGTGAAGACCAATTCTCAAAATGTTTGACCACGACTGTACAACCCTTGTAGTGGTTGTATCTCTGATTTTGCTAGAGCGCAGGAATGTGGACCAACTCTCATAATACATGAACATGAGGAAGGAGTGTGGTTATACTACGGTCCAGACAAAGATGTTCACTGTTACCTCCTTTTCCTTATATGGCCATTGTTTGTACAGTCTATTGTTTGTGTTGTCGTGAGCTGTGAAAATTAATTTCCACTGTAAGTACAACTAATTTTGATCGACACACACACACACACACACACCTTCACCCCTGTAGACACAGATATAGCCTACTGTACTGTAGAAGTGAGGTGACAGAGTACGTGTCTCTTATGCTGGTAGTGCGAGGCAGACCCATGTTTGGCAGTATGCACATCTGATGGATACCAAAGGGTCAAATGCTTTCTGTGCCTCACATTCCTCTCATTAACTCCCCTCTTCTCCTCCAGTGCCCACTAACACACACACACTCCCCCAGTACACACCCTATACACACCATGGGTCATGTTTGGAGTCAATTCACCAGTGTGCAACCATTAAACAACCATTGTGCAACCGTTACAGTCAGTGGGGCAGCTCTGTATTCTCAGGGCTTGTTACAGGAATGTTTACTGTGACCATGGCAACAGCTCAGTGGTGAAAGACTTCATTCCAAAGGCTATTCTCCGGAATGCTTTACCAGCGCTCCCGATCAGCAGCAGAGAGCCTTGTTGTGGAGGAACAGTAACTATGATGTTTAGATTTGGAAGTGGTGTGTGGAATGTTTATGTGTGTGGCAGTGGTAAGAGAGTATTGGAAGCTACATTCTTTCACTGGCCTTCCGACATGTTTGTTTATCTACTGCACCTTGATAAATGTCTTCCCACTTCCTGACAGTGTGTGTGTGTGTGGTTACCTGCTGCTACTCTTGGCTGCCTGCTGCTCTTCCATTTGGCTGATGCCCGTCAGGGTGACTCCATCGGAAGGCTTCTTCTTAGTCTCTCGCCGACTCAGTGTACGGTTGAAGTCTATGGACCAGTCCTGTGACACACACACACACACACGATTAGTCATGTACCCTTGGACACAGATGAACATGATTCACATGCTCAGCTCAACGGATTCAACTTCAATGTTCAAACATTAGTAACTGAAACTGCTTGTCTTAGCAACAATACTACACTAAGGACAAGCATTGAAATAATGCACACACTTACACCCAAGTGCACACTCATTGGAAGTCTGATGCTCTAACTAGCACACTCACTAGGTAACGTTAGGCAAACATTTCTCAGGCTGTGACTAAACACTGAAGACCAGGGCTGTGGAGTACTGAAATTGTGTGTGTGTGTGTGTGGTTAAGAGAAACACATCAATCACCATAAAGACAGACATTGTTAGAGCCACCACACACCTCCACCAGAAGCTAAGGAGTGGGCTTGAATCAAAACATTATCCCAACCAACACCAACAGAACCTCATCCCAACGTTAGGAGAACATTATGCAATGCAAGCCCACAGACAGACACACAAACTTTAACATGGTCCAATACTGCCACTTTATCCCTAGACTTACTACAGCTCTATGGAGGTTACATTTCACTTATAGTTCTACCTTTTCCCAAGTCACTCCCTGTTCCCACAGATATAATAAGTTTGCTGTTCTCGAAGTTCAAAGGTCAGTCTCAGGGCCTGACTGGTGAACCCAGAGGGTCAAATGACATCACACGACCTGGCAGACATCATGTGACCCCCTGCAGGGTTCATAGGGGCTGACACGAGGTCAGAGGTCACCACGGGGTGAAAGGTTAAAGAGAGGAACTCTGAACGAGAGAAAGATGAGAGAGGGAGTGTTCTGGAATCCAGACATCCAGGAAGACATAAACATCCATAGGATGAGACAGAGGGAGGAAGGGAGGGGGCAGTCACACACACATCCCCACACTGGTCATACTCGACAGACGTGGTGCAGAGGCCATTCATCAGATGTGTGTGTGTGCGCGCGCGTGCACTTTCTTGTGTGTTTGCAGGTGCTTCTTGTAAGGGATTAGGAGGGCCAGAATGGGCACACATAAACCGAACACACACACAGAAAGAGAGAGAAAATGCAAACAGAGGAAGGAGAGTGAGGTAAGTGACCCTCCCCCAGGAACCATGGTGATAGAACAGTCCTTCCCATGTAAAACTCACTACAATGGACCTTCTGGACCTAGGGTAGCAGGACCAGTCCTGGTGGGGGGGGGGGGGGGGGGGGGGGGGGTGTACAAGACAGGAACATTATTTTCTTTGTAAAGAACAGCCATTTAAAGAACAGTGCTTTAACATTCAAAGGAATACATCTAAGCACAGTATTAGTTAGTCTGTGATCATGAAGAGGTGTCTTGTGATAAATGTTACTCTTCATTTAGTGTTGTGTTGTTTTGATGTGGTGTTTGTGTGTCATGGTCATTTGAAATGCTCTTCTCCTACTCTTCTTCTTCTACCCTAACCCTACTACCAACATCGATGTCTGAAGAGATTCTACCTCAGTCAAATGCTTGTTTTTAATTACTGAATGAACCTACATGAAGTAACTATGGATAAGAGTGTGTGCTAAATCAGTGTTTCTCAATCCATACCAGGGGGCACATATTTGCTCTAGCCCAGCACTAGCACACCTGATTCAACACTTCAACTTCCCATGGGAGATAAATTAACAGAGTGTAGCGCGGTACAGAGTAATATTGAAAGATAATTGTGTCCATTCTATACCTTGCTTTTCCATCTGTTGTTTTGTAACATGGTTTGACACCAACCGAATAATACTCCATGCCTTTATGTTTTGACAGTGATATCAGTTCCTCTTGGATAGAGCTTGGTTACGGTCTGTGCATTGATTAGTCAGTGTTCGGTACAACCTGACAGACAGGTTTGGTGTGTGTCTGTGTGCATCTCCTGTCAAATTACAGAAAAACGCTGGGGAGATTGCACACTCTGTCACAATGGGCTTTTGTGTGGTACAACATGTCACAGTATGCCCTTACTATATCTTTAAGTAAAACTCTATGTCAACAAAATGCTTGGACTGAGAGGGGGTCCAATCTGGCCCGTGGGTGGTTTGAGTAAAAAATAATATGTGTGGGGGGAGGGGGGTGTATTGACAACGAACTCAATACACTTTAAAATGACTAAAACCAAATCGAAACAGTGTAGAAATTATAATAGATCTATATTCATACCGTTTCTTGACTGTCCAGCTCACTAATAATCACTAGACATTCAGGGAGCATCAAAAATTCAAAATACGATAGATAGGGGACTATTTTTGAAAATTCTGACGACATCGAAATATAACATTTTCAGCGCGACCCTTCGGACCTCGTTGAAGAGCGAATGCAGCCCCCGAGGCAAAATGACTTAACACCCCTGACCTAGAGGGAGAAATGGCAAGCTAGCTCTCGGAGTGGGAACAGTAGTTCTAATGGAATCTTTCCACAGAGCCATAAATCTTTTTGAGTTATTAATACCAATTTAACACCAGCAGCAGTTTTCATCCCTACAGTTGTCAAGCTCCTCACCAAGATAAACATTGTGTTCCCTCTTCAGATTTGGTTTGCAAATTAATGATAAAATCAAATCTTATTGGTCACATACATGTGTTTAGCAGATGTTATTGCGGGTGTAGCGAAATGCTTTTCTAGCTCCGACAGTGCAGTAATATCTAACAAGTAATATCTAACAATTTCACAACATATACCCAATACACACAAATCTAAGTAAAGCAATGGAATTCAGAATATATAAATATATGGACGAGCAATGTCAGAGCGGCACAGACTAAGATACAGTAGAATAGTATAGAATACAGTATATACATATGAGATGAGTAATGCAAGATATGTAAACATTATTAAAGTGACTAGTGTTCCCTTTATTAAAGTGGCCAGTGATTTCTAATCTATGTATATAGGCAGCAGCTTCTAATGTGCTAGTGAAGGCTATTTAACAGTCTGATGGCCTCGCCTTCTGGATGATAGCGGGGTGAACAGGCAGTGGCTTGGGTGGTTGTTGTCCTTGATTATCTTTTTGGCCTTCCTGTGACATCAGGTGCTGTAGGTGTCCTGGAGGGCTGGTAGGTTGACCCCGGTGATGCATTGGGCAGACCGCACCACCCTCTGGAGAGCCCTGCGGTTGCGGGCGGTGCAGTTGCCGTACCAGGCGGTGATACAGCCCGACAGGATGCTCTCAATTGTGCATCTGTAAAAGTTTGTGAGGGTTTTAGGTGCCAAGCCAAATTTCTTCAGCCTCCTGAGGTTGAAGAGGCGCTGTTTGTGGACCATTTCAGTTTGTCAGTGATGTGTACACCGAGGACCTTGAAGCTTTCCACAATCATCTTCTTTGTTTTGTTATTTTTCTGGCACCACACTCCCAGAGCCCTCACCTTTTCCCTGTAGGCTGTCTCGTCATTGTTGGTAATCAAGCCTACTACTGTTGTGCTGTCTGTAAACTTGATGATTGAGTTGGAGGGGTTCTTGGCCACGCAGTCATGGGTGAACAGGGAGTACAGGAGGGTGCTGAGCATGCACCCTTGTGGGGCCCAAGTGTTGAGGATCAGCGAAGTGGAGGTGTTGTTTCCTACCTTCACCACCTGGGGTGGCCCGTCAGGAAGTCCAGGACCCAGTTGCACAGGGCGGAGTTCAGACCCAGGGCCTCGAGCTTAATGATGAGCTTGGAGGGTACTATGATGTTGAATGCTGAGCTATAGTCAATGAACAGCATTTTTAAATAGGTACAGTGGCTTGCAAAAGTATTCACCCCCCTTGGCATTTTTCCTATTTTGTTGCCTTACAACCTGGAATTAAAATGGATTTTGGGGGGGTTGTGATTTACACAACATGCCTACCACTTTGAAGATGCAAAATATGTTTCATTGTGAAACAAACAAGAAATAAGACAACAAAACTGAATACTTGAGCGTGCATAACTATTCACCCCCCCCAAAGTCAATACTTTGTAGAGCCACCTTTTGCAGCAATTACAGCTGCAAGTCTCTTTATAAGCTTGGCCCATCTAGCCACTGGGATTTTTGCCCATTCTTCAAGGCAAAACTGCTCCAGCTCCTTCAAGTTGGATGGGTTCCGCTGGTGTACATCAATCTTTAAGTCATACCTCAGATTCTCAATTGGATTGAGGTCTGGGCTTTGTCTAGGTCATTCCAATACATTTAAATGTTTCCCCTTAAACCACTCGAGTGTTGCTTTAGCAGTATGCTTAGGGTCATTGTCCTGCTGGAAGGTGAACCTCTGTCCCAGTCTCAAATCTCTGGAAGACTGAAACAGGTTTCCCTCAAGAATATCCCTGTATTTAGCGCCATCCATCATTCCTTTAATTCTGACCAGTTTCCCAGTCCCTGCAGATGAAAAACATCCCCACAGCATGATGCTGCCACCACGCTGTTCTCGGGGTGATGAGAGTTGTTGGGTTTGCGCCAGACATAGCGTTTTCCTTGATGGCCAAAAAGCTCAATTTTAGTCTCATCTGACCAGAGTACCTTCTTCCATATGTTTGGGGAGTCTCCCACATGCCTTTTGGCGAACACTAAACGTGTTTGCTTATTTTTTTCTTTAAGCAATGGCTTTTTTCTGGCCACTCTTCCGTAAAGCCCAGCTCTGTGGAGTGTACGGCTAACAGTGGTCCTATGGACAGATACTCCAATCTCTGCTGTGGAGCTTTGCAGCTCCTTCAGGGTTATCTTTGGTCTCTTTGTTGCCTCTATGATTAATGCCCTCATTGCCTGGTCTGTGAGTTTTGGTGGGCGGCCCTCTCTTGGCAGGTTTGTTGTGGTGCCATATTATTTCCATTTTTTAATAATGGATTTAAAAATGGTGCTCCGTGGGATGTTCAAAGTTTCAGATATTTTTTTATAACCCAACCCTGATCTGTACTTCTCCACAACTTTGTCCCTGACCTGTTTGGAGAGCTCCTTGGTCTTCATGGTGCCGCTTGCTTGGTGGTGCCCCTTGCTTAGTGGTGTTGCAGACTCTGGGGCCTATCAGAACAGGTGTATATATACTGAGATCTTGTGACACTTAGATTGCACACAGGTTGACTTTATTTAATTTATTATGTGACTTTGAAGGTAATTGGTTGCACCAGATCTTATTTAGGGGCTTCATAGCAAAGGGGGTGAATACATATGCATGCACCACTTTTCCGTTATTTATTTTTTAGAATTCTTTGAAACAAGTTATGTTTTTCATTTCACTTCACCAATTTTGACAATTTTGTGTATGTCCATTACATGAAATCCAAATAAAAATATATTTAAATTACAGGCTGTAATGCAACAAAATAGGAAAAACGCCAAGGGGGATGAATACTTTTGCAAGGCATTGTATTCCTCTTGTACAGATGGGATAGGGCAGTGTGCAGTGTGATGGAGATTGCATCGCCTGTGGATCTATTGGGGCGGTAAGCAAATTGAAGTGGATCTAGGGTGGCAGGTAACGTAGAGGTTATATGATCCTTGATTAGTCTCTCAAAGCACTTCATTATGACAGAAGTGAGTGCTACGGGGCGATAGTCATTTAGTTCAGTTGCCTTTGCTTTCTTGGGTACAGGGACAATGGTGGCCATATTGAAGCATGTGGGGACAGCAGATTGGGATAGGGAGAGATTGAATATGTCCGTAAACACACCTGCCAGCTGGTCTGCGCATTCTCTGAGGACGCGGCTAGGGATGCCGTCTGGGCCGGCAGCCTTGCGAGGGTTAACACGCTTAAATGTCTTACTCACGTCGGCCACGGTGAAGGAGAGCCCACAGTCCTGGGTAGAGGGCCGCATCGGTGGCACTGTATTATCCTCAAAGCGGGCGAAGAAGGTGTTTAGCTTGTCCGGAAGCAAGACGTTCGGCTGAATTATGGGCTTTCAGTTTCTGTTCGTATGAAGGGAAAGATAATCTAATAGGGGAAGAGAATCTAAGACAACACCGGATCGCTCTGATCTGGTTGTAATGTACTGAAACTTCTCCTGAGGACATGAAGGACTGACTGACCGATAGGCTGACTAACTTTCTGGCTCAATCTATTTTAACCTGATTTCTAAAGTTATTCATTTACTTGAGTCGGTCCATGGGCATGGCTTGGAGAACTCCCTCCTTCTTCCTCTCTCAAAGTAGCAGTTTTAATATATTACCTTCAAGTTCATTGGAGCTGAACCATTCGCTCTCCCCTTCTCTCGCCTACCTTCTCTCGCCTCACCATGTACCTCAAACTCAGAACCGTTCACTGACACTGAGCCACTCTCTCTCCCATCTTTCATTTCCTCAATACTCTCCCAATACCTGTTCCTCAAACTGGGGCCAGTTCATTGGAGCTAAACCCCTCTCTCTCTCTCACATTCATCTCCCATCCTTCTCCCTCATCCCCCTCTCCCCGTACCTCAAACTGGGGCCAGTTCATGGGCATGCCAGGACCGTGGTTGGAGCGGAACCACTTGAGGTCCTCCTCAGCATCAGCAGCAGAGATAGTGTCCTCCAACGTGTGGAAAACTGTCTGGAATCTAGAGAGGGAGAGAACAGGAAGAGGAAGAGAGGAGAGAGAGATCCTAATGATGTCCAATCCCAAATCCCCCCTCTAGGTAGATCTGGGTTGTAGAGGCTGAAATCCAAATGGACACTTATCCCCTACTCCCTAGCCACTCCTGTAGATATACGAGAATTGAATAGCAGCCAATCAGAAGGCAAATCAAGCTATGAAGCTTAGAGTGCATATGATGCAGAGGCTAGGGGTCCATTTGGAATTGATATGGAGAGGTGGAGGTGTCTTACTAGTGATTTGTGGAGAGGTGGAGGTGTCTTACTAGTGATTTGTGGAGAGGTGGAGGTGTCTTACTAGTGATTTGTGGAGAGAGGTGGAGGTTTGTCTTACTAGTGATTTGTGGAGAGGTGGAAGTGTTTACTAGTGATTTGTGGAGGGTGGTTGTCTTACTAGTGATTGTGGAGAGGTGGAGGTGTCTTACTAGTGATTTGTGGAGAGGTGGAGGTGTCTTACTAGTGATTTGTGGAGAGGTGGAGGTGTCTTACTAGTGATTTGTGGAGAGGTGGAGGTGTCTTACTAGTGATTTGTGGAGAGGTGGAGGTGTCTTACTAGTGATTTGTGGAGAGGTGGAGGTGTCTTACTAGTGATTTGTGGAGAGGTGGAGAGTGTCTACTAGTGATTTGTGGAGAGGTGGAGATGTCTTACTAGTGATTTGTGGAGAGGTGGAGGTGTCTAACTAGGGATTTGTGGAGAGGTGGAGATGTCTTACTAGTGATTTCTGGAGAGGTGTAGGTGTCTTACTAGGGATTTGTGGAGATGCAGAAGGGTCTTACTTGTAATTGGTGGAGGGGTCTTACTCGTCATTGATGGAGAGGTATAGGTGTCTTAGCCTACTTGTGATTGGTGGAAAGGTGTCATAGCCGAATTGTGATTGGTGGAGAGGTGTCATGGTCTACTTGTGATTGGTGGAGAGGCGGAGGGGTCTTACTTGTGATTGGTGGAGAGGTCGAGGTGATGCTTGACTTCCAGCAGAAGCGCTTTGAAGAAGGTGATGCGTTTGTCCTCAAACTGCTGCCACTGTTCAAACACCTGCTCCATGTTCTCCATGTACTGGGGAGTTATCTTGTCCAGCTCCTCCAGAGACTTCTCATAGCGCTCCTTAGTCTGGGACCCAGAGGATCATAGAGGGAAGCACACACACACACAGGTAAGGAGACATACACACAGGCAAGCGCGCACACACACACACACACAATGCATACGCACATACGCAGCTGAAACATTTGCTCCATATTGTCCAGATACTCAATGGTCTCAGAGTCACATTCCAGCCATGACACACAACATAGACATAAAACACACGTCCACGCAGAGATTATTTTACACCAGTGTAACCCCCCCCCCCATCCCTACCTTCTCCATCTCCTGCTGGCACTTCTCCACCTTATCCTGCAGCTTCTTCTGGGCCTCAGGGTTGCTGTTGTTCTCCATCTTGCTGTTGTTCTCCCGGCTTGTGGCCAGCTTCTCTTCCTTACAGGCCCCGTGGTACGCCTTCTTCATCGTCTCCACCTGCCATACGGCACAGAGAAGGTAAGGTACAGCGGTTAACATCATCACATCATGCTTATGTAGCCAATTGATAACCAAGTTAGCATTGCGCAGTAGCCAAGTTGACTATTCAATATGATTCTACCCTTTCAGTGGTAGACAAGCTTAGGAAAAAGACCGGCTCTAGCCTTTTGGGGGCCATAAGCAAGATTTGCCTGGGCCCCCCATATCTCACACCAGGAAGTCTCAGATTGTGACACTGGTACACTACAAACTCAGTGACCAAGAAGGTCGCGTCCAGCCCGGTAAAATGGCGACTAAAATGGCGACAGAAACAAAAACAGGCCTGTTCCAGAACTCCCAGGTCAGAGGAGAAGTGACGTCAGACGCCATTTGAGTGTGTGCCAGTTTGTGAAAGCGGGAGTGTGTGTGTCACAGAAGCTGCAGTTCATCTGCACTACTACTGCTAGCCAAACGCACAGCAGAGCAGCCCAATATCTTTCCCCCACCATAACAAATCAAGCCGGCGGTTCGACACGCAATGGCCTTCCCCTTCTCAGTAGCTGCCTGTGTGGCCAGCGGAAAGTTCCATGCCACTGCTTCCTATGAATGGCCAACACTAATGAAATAGCCTGTTATATAGCGCTAATGGCCTGTTTGTTGTACAGCATAGCAGCTAGTCCATGAGAGAAGGAGCTGAAAACAGCCAAAGCAGTGAGTCAGAGATATGTGTTCAAGTGAACTGAGGGGTGATGGGAATAATTGTCGTGGCTATTGCAGAAATCAATGGACTGATAAATGCAGGGTAAAGCTGATGTGTGTGTGTTTCTTTACATCTGAGCTTCTTAGTTCTGTGTTCTTGCTCGTCACTCTGAATCCACATCTAACCTCATTTAATGATGGTGTGTGTGTGCTTTGTGGTGGGTATCTGCATGCCTGTGTGCTTGCACCGTTTGTATTGTCTGTGTGTGTGTGTGTGTGTCTGTCTGTATGACTCCCTAACCTCTTTCAGTTTCTTGGCCCAGGGTTTCTGTGCCTTGCGGAAGCCGTCGTCAGCCTCCTTGGTCTCCTTGAAGCCTCCGATCATCTGTTTGTGGTAGTAGTCCCTCTGCCACACCTTGAGCTTCTCAAAGTCCTCCCCCATCAGCGCCGCCTTCACCTCCATGTGGAGCTCGCTCACCTTCTCCGCCTCAGTGCACAGGGCACCCCACGCCCGCTCCAGGGTCCCGTACTGGGGGCCTGGGGATGCACACGATTAGATAATAACACACACATGCATGCTCACGCTGATGGAGAGTGCGGTACTGAGAGTCCAAGGGAACAGAGGGGGTAAAGGGAGTGGAACACACACCTGTCTTCATTGCTTGGAGCACTGAAATGTGTGTGTGTGTGTGTGTGTGTGTCTACCTTTCTCTATAAGCTGTCTCCAGCGTTTGGACCACTCTGTGAGCTGCTGTGCGTAGGACTTCTCGATGCGCGCCCGCTCATGGAGACAGTTCATCAGGTCGTTACACAGGCGACTGCCATCGTCCACCCGCCTCACTGTCCGCTTGTAGTTCCCCACCTGGGGGGGGGGGGGGAAGGTGAGAGGACATGGGTGTGTGTGTGTGGCAGGGTGGGAGTTGTGTGAGTGTACAGCTACGTGCATATCATATAATGACGTATGCTCTTTAATTGTATGTTTTTCAGTGTGTGTGTGATATACTGTATGTTGTCTACCGTCTCACCTCCCAGAAGCTGTCACTGGAGACGTCGATCATGGAGTCATCATAGGAGCCGGACATGGCTGCTGCTGCCCTCTGTACCCACAGTCCTCAGGGGCTGAAACACACAGCAGACTGGCTGTTTACAGACTGGCTCTGTTAATTGCATTAAAAACACGTTTTACTTTCTCGTCCTGGTGGGTGGGTGGGGTGGGTCCGTCCGTCCGTCCGTCCAAGGGCACTGGAAAGATGGAGGGGGGTACCACGTGTAGAGAACCCTGTGTGGGGCAGACTTAATACTCTGATCCCCTGGCTTCAGCACGGCCTAGTGGGGCTATTAGCCTACATACTGTACGAACGAACACACACAAGGACAACTAGCTTACTCATTTCTTTCCATGAGTAGGAAAATGAAGCCTGTAAATGAAGGGTATGACAGTGAGAGAGAGAACAGAAGACAGAAAGAGAGAGATTTCACAGGCTGACTTTAATCAGTCCGTCATGCATGCACGCACACTTTAGTTTCACTACAATCATATGACACAAAGTGGCAGCTGGGAGCTGAGCATCATTCTGTTGTTGTGTGTTCTCTCAGTCAACTAGAAAAAGTAGCCCGTTATCATAAAACGCTCCAAACAACACCCAGGCAACGTAATTATCACGCTGTCACTATGACACTCCTGAGAAATGCTGAACTGGGACCAATGCCAAAGATATGATCCGAGAGAGAAAGAGACAGAATTAACAAGCAGGTGAATGGAGCGAGACAGATAGGAGTGTGCAATCTGTAATCTGGTGTGAATCTAAACAGCAGGTGAGTGTCTTCACCCATTTCAAAAGCCTTGCAGCCTGAAAAAACAACACACACACAGCTCTGTGCAGGGTGGCACAGAGGGCCTAGTGTGTGTGTGTGTGTGTCTTATCTGACGTTTTAGCGCACACACTGTGGGGAGCTTCCGTTTGTGCTGAGTGACATGGGAGCGGAACTCCACTGACAGAAAGACCTCTGTTCCTCTCCTCCTTCATCCTCCTCTCTTGCTCTACCCCCCTCTGTCTGCTTTCTCTCGCTCTCTCTATCGCTGCTCTCTCCATCCTCTGTTCCATCTTCAGCTTCCAAGTATGCCCCTCATCCTCTCTCCATCTCTTCATCCCTCTCTCGCTCTCTCTCTGCAAACTGACAGGAGTGAGTGTTTCTTGGTGGGATGCAGCAGAGTAAGAGTTCACAGGTGGTGGGGAGTTTGGAGTGACGTTGTGTGTGTGTGAGTGTGTCTGCATGCTTGTGTCCTGGCTGTGTGAGTGCTTACATGTATAAGAGTGCGCACATTTGCGAGGCACAATGTGTGTACTGTGTATGTGCTGTGTACATGCATGCTGTGAGTGAGTGATTGTGTGTAAGTGTGTGTGTGTTTCCTGGCGGTCAGTGGCCCATGGCCTCCAGACCACAGCTAGGGCTGGAGGACAGACAGAGGGTTGTAGTGGCTGGAGGGAGGAGGGACCGCCAGACAAGAGTGGCTTTCACAACACTCAACCAACACACAATCTCTGTTGTGCTTTTCTAGTACGCACACAGACACACACACACGCGTGTAGGGCTAGATGGGCAACAGACTGCACTGATTTTTCTTCAGTTTCAGTGCTGCTCATATTCAAGTGCTGTCAGGGTAATGATCGTGTGAGGTGAGTTTCATCGACATTAGAACGAGGCTGATGATCAACAGTTTTTATTGTAGACTTGACCAACATGACTTTGCAATAGAAAGGAAGGAGCTGATCTCTGACCTATCTAACATGTCACACACTGTAACAAATGTTGAGCCGCAACCAAAAGACGTGGAAGCTGTATTTAAAAAGGACAATATCAGTGGTCTCCTACTAAAGGGTTGTCATAAGCCCCTGGGCCAGACAACATCAGTGGGCCTACCTGACAAATAGAGAACAGCTGGTCAGATTCAATGGTTACTGCAGCTCTTCCAGAACCATCTGTACAGGATCACCACAAGGCTCTGTCATCTGGCCTGTTTCATTCACCCTGTACACAGATGACTGTAGGAGCTCAGACCCAGAGATGATGTTCATTAAGTACTCGGATGACACAGTAATTATGGACACAGCAGGCAACTCATATAGAGCTCTCCCATTCAAATCTAAGAGAGCAGCTTCTATGTTTTGGGAACATCCAACATCCATCAAACTCCTTAACTCTGAAGTTTATATATATACAGTGGGGAGAACAAGTATTTGATACACTGCCGATTTTGCAGGTTTTCCCACTTACAAACATTATTAGGCACTAACTTCATAGTTGGGACATTCTAAATAAAGGGTTGCACAAAATCCCGAAAATCCATGATATGTTTAGTAATTATTGTTTTTATGCACTAAGTATTTGATCCCTACCATAAGAATTCGGGCTCACAAGACATGTTAGTTTTCTTAAGAAGCCTTTTTACTTTACTAATTAACGCAGCCTGTTTGAACTGGTTACCTGTATAAAAAGACAAACCTTCCACCACACATCAAACAGACCCAACCTCTCCACAATGGCCAAGACCAGAGAGCTGTGTAAGGACATCAGGGATAAATTGTAGACCTGCAAAAGGCTGGGATGGGCTACAGGACAATAGGCAAGCAGCTTGGTGAGAAGGCAACAACTGTTGGCGCAATTATTAGAAAATGGAAGAAGTTCAAGATGACGGTAAATCATCCTCGGTCTGGGGCTCCATGCAAGATCTCATTCTCGTGGGGCATCAATGATATAATAATAAATAATATGCCATTTAGCAGACGCTTTTATCCAAAGCGACTTACAGTCATGCGTGCATACATTTTTGTGTATGGGTGGTCCCGGGGATCGAACCCACTACCTTGGCGTTACAAGCGCCGTGCTCTACCAGTTGAGCTACAGAGGACCACAGATCATGAGGAAGGTGAGGGATCAGCCCAGAACTACACGGCAGGATCTGGTCAATGACCTAAAGAGAGCTGGGACCACAGTCTCAAAGAAAACCATTAGTAACACACTACGCCGCCATGGATTAAAATCCTGCAGCGCACGCAAGGTCCCCCTGCTCAAGCCAGCGCATGTCCAGGCCCGTCTGAAGTTTGCCAATGACCTTCTGGATGATCCAGAGGAGGAATGGGAGAAGGTCATGTGGTCTGATGTGACAAAAATAGAGCTTTTTGGTCTAAACTCCACTCGCCGTGTTTGGAGGAAGAAGAAGGATGAGTACAACCCCAAGAACACCATCCCAACCGTGAAGCATGGAGGTGGAAACATCATTCTTTGGGGATGCTTTTCTGCAAAGGGGACAGGACGACTGCACTGTATTGAGGGGAGGATGGATGGGGCCATGTATCGCGAGATCTTGGCCAACAACCTCCTTCCCTCAGTAAGAGCATTGAAGATGGGTAGTGGCTGGGTCTTCCAGCATGACAACGACCCGAAACACACAGCCAGGGCAACTAAGGAGTGGCTCCGTAAGAAGCATCAAGGTCCTGGAGTTGCCTAGTCAGTCTCCAGACCTGAACCCAATAGAAAATCTTTGGAGGGAGCTGAAAGTCCATATTGCCCAGCGACAGCCCCGAAACCTGAAGGATCTGGAGAAGGTCTGTATGGAGGAGTGGGGCCAAATCCCTGCTGCAGTGTGTGCAAACCTGGTCAGACCTACAGGAAACGTATGATCTCTGTAATTGCAAACAAAGGTTTTCTGTAACCAATATTAAGTTCTGCTTTTCTGATGTATCAATACTTATGTCATGCAATAAAATGCACATTAATTACTTAAAAATCATACAATGTGATTTTCTGGATTTTTTGTTTTAGATTCCGTCTCTCACAGTTGAAGTGTACCTATGATAAAAAACTACAGACCTCTAATGCTTTGTAAGTAGGAAACCTGCAAATCGGCATGTACAAATATTGTTCTCCCCACTGTGTGTGTGTGTATGTGTGGGTTGTGTGTTTGTGTTGGTTGTGTGTGTATGTATATTATACATATATAATCTAGATATAGATATATATATATTATCTATCATATTAACACCTACATACACATACACACGTGTGTGTGACGCAGATCTTCCTGTGCTTCTCTCCCTCCGGCCCTCTCTCAGCTGTTGCTGTCCTTTACTCACCAATCGCTGCCATGACAACCATGGAACACAGCAGGGCATGGAATGGACCACAACATTCTACAGCTGAGCTAATCCCGTATGTAACTTTATAAAAATGAATTGTGTTGGATTACGCTCAGAGCACCGTTTGTGGACCTGGTGGATCCATTCACACAATGTCTGATCAGTGCCTGTTCAGTGGCTTCTATAAAAACCTATTATTGTATCGATTCGACACCTTTCATGGAGCACACAAATGGAGCAAACCCTTTCATTGAGTAAACAGCCTAAGTTTCTATACTGCTACTAGTAGGGCTATGTTCATCTTTGGAGGCTAACTAACCTAACAGAAACTAAAAGCTGGCTAGTGGTTACAACAACACACTTCCTAACGGAAAATAACTCTGTATAGGGTGGCAGGTAGCCTAGTGGTTAAGAGTGTTGGGCCAGTATCAAAGGTCACTGGTCCGAATCCCCGAGCCGACTGTGAAAAATCTGCCGATTTGTCCTTGAGCAAGGCACTTAACCCTAATTTTACATTTACGTCATTTAGCAGACGCTCTTATCCAGAGCGACTTACAGTTAGTGCATACATTATTCTTTTTTTATTTTCATACTGGCCCCCCGTGGGAATCAAACCCACAACCCTGGCATTGCAAACGCCATGCTCTACCAACTGAGCTACATCCCTGCCGGCCATTCCCTCCCCTACCCTGGACGACGCTGGGCCAATTGTGCGCCGCCCCATTGGTCTCCCGGTTGCGGCCGGCTACAGCAGAGCCTGGATTCGAACCTAGCACTGCGATGCAGTGCCTTAGACCACTGCGCCACTCGGGAGATATTATAAAAGCTTCTGTAAGTCGCTCTGGATAAGAGCGTCTGCTAAATGACGTAACGTAAATGTATAGAGAAGACTGCAAGATGAACCCAAAGCCAATTAGTAGAATCCAAATAGAATGGACCCCTAAGGAAACTATGAACACAGATTTAAGAATGCAGCCAATTCACCCTTTTGTCTCCAAGGTGGAAACCAAAGTGGAGTTAGTGACCGCGGTGAACTATGAACACAGTTGAACCACTAAACGTCACTCGACTCTGAGGAGGTTAAGACACAGAGGCCTAATTCAGTCTTTCCCCATTCTCCCCAAAGTCTGCACTTGGTTGCTATTTGTTACCTATTTGCCATGTCTTTAACCAAACTCTAAAAGGAGTGTCCACAGGCGTGGAAGGAAGCTAAAGTAATTCCACTACCTAAAAATAGTAAACCACCCTTTGCTGACTAACAGCCGCCCAATCAGTTTACTGCTTGTTCTTAGTAAACTGATGGAGAAAATTGTGTTTGAACAAATACAATGCTATTTTTCAAAGAACAAGTTAACTACTGACTCAGCATGCATACACTTAACTTGTACTGCATTGACTCAGATGACTGATGATTGGTTAAAATAAATGGATAATAAGATGATAGTTGGAGTTGTTTTGTTAGATATCAGTGCAGCCTTCTCTAACATCAGTACAGTGTCCCTCAGGGCAGTTGCCTTGGGCCATTACTCTTTATTTTGACAAATTATTTGCCAACTTGTCTTACAAGAACCTAGAATGACTATGTATGCTGATGATTCCACACTCTACACGTCAGCACCCAAAGCCAGTGAGCTCACAGACTCTTAACAAGGAGATACAGTCAGTATCAGAATGGGTGATTAACAATAAACTGGTCTTAAGTACATCTAAAACTAAAAGGTTGATTTTGTTCAAAACATTCTCTAAGACCTAAACCTCAACTGGAACCATTGAGCAAGTTGAGGAAGCTGAACTGTAGGAGTAATATTGGATGGTCAGTTATCACGGTCAGATGTGTTCATGGCGTCCAGTTCACTAAGGACTTAACATGGTCCACACACACCCGCACAGTCGTGAAGAGGTCACAACAGCACCTCTTCCCCGTCAGGAGGCTGAAAAGATTTGACATGGGCCCTCGGATGTTCTAC